GGCTCATGAAGAACATTGTTCATGGCTTTGTGTGGCCTAACCTGTTGTGCCTTGCATGCTATAAACATTCAGTTATGTCAGAAAATGAAGATTTGGTCTTATGCTGAGCATGTGCTACTGCTGATGAATGGGATCAGGTTAAGCTTTGTGTTGCTGTTCTTTTGCATAACCTAAAGTAAATAAGGAAAACCAGCTGTTAAATAGTTTAATTCCACTATTTATCCTCCACACAACTAAAAGGGACCTCTCAATGCAGTGCCAAATCAGACAAACCATTTCTAATTTAATATAGGCTTGAGCTGTAGCTGGGCAGAGTTGCACAACAATCTCATCTGTCATTGATACATTTCTATAAGCATGGGGAGGAGGTGGATGAAAGGAAATGTAAAATATAGGTAGAATGGTATAGGTCTTATCACTGGCTGATAATGGTCTATATTAATGCCACTGTTGATTGCTGTTCACTTTTCATGGTTCAAATGTTATTCCGTTATAGTTTATTAAATATTTTATTACACTATTTGGTTCAGAATATATTTTCCCTGTGTTCCTCCTCTAAAAATTAGGTGCGTCTTATGGAGCAAGAAATACGGTATACGGTGAGGAATATTTCATTGACAATAAGCAGCACTCTGTAACTGAACCACAGTAAAAATAAAGCTATATAAACACGTAATAACTAAGTATTGTGCAATGGTCAGATCCTCTCTTTAATCTAAAGTGGTTTTAAAAACAACTTTGCAACTATATGCTGCACTGTTTCAAACTCCATGGAAATTAAGGAATATGATACAGTAACCTTGCAGCTGAATTTTTTCTCTGATTCAGTTTCTACATTTGTTCATTTTCTTTCTTAATGATACACATCAGCTTAATGATTCTGTGTACTGTATCTCTTCCAAACATGCTGTTAGCTGTCTTTCCAATGTAAGTGTGCACCTCAGATGCTAACAAGTTGGGCAAAGATCAAAGGCCAATTGTAACCATTTTAAAAGCCATTTATATACATGTAGTGTAATTCAGTACTTACATATCCAGAAGCTAGACCAAAAAAGTTAAATGGCTTTCACACGGCAAGATAACAGTATTTGTAGTTTTAATCCTTTCAAAATAGGCTTAGTGGAAGTTCACTAATGAAAACAAGAAAAGGATGCAAGAAAGGGCAGTGTTGTATTACCCTCTTTGGAACACATCACTTTCTTAGTTGCTTACTTCATTTAGTCATCTATTTTCAGTCTATTGCAAAGCACCAGAGTCAATGTTGGAAACAGTAGAGACACTCAATTCAGATCAAATTTTTTGTAAACATTGTAAATATTTTTGAAATGAAACTAATGACATGGAACAAATGTTACTGAAGAAAGATTACAATTTTCATTCATTCGATAGGATGATGGCACTAGTGAATTGCTGGGGGCAATATCATATGATAAGCTGGGGCTTGTAAATGTTACTAGAGGTTGTGTTGAATCACATGACTGTTTTTCTGCATCATCTGAATTAACAGAAACCAAACTGGCATGCTTTGATGCTTTCCATGCAAATGTCTGCTTTTGAAGACTTGCCAAGTCCTCCTTGAAATGAGGATTAAAAAATATGTAGAGAAGTGGATTCAGACATGCAGGCAGGGGTACAATCAGTAAAAGTATTGGTTTAATTACTTCTGGGCTAATAAAAGTAAGGTTTAACAAAGAAGAAAATGACAAGATGGCCACAGGGCAATAAAGAATACAGTTAGTAAAAAGCAGTAAAGCTATATGCTTGATCATGGAACAGTCCAAAGTATTATCCACTTCCTCCTTATCCAGACTGCAGTAAAGTTTTGTATAGGATATTGTCATTATAAGAAAACAAAGAGAGTTCAGCAAGACCAGTGCTACCATGTACCCTACAGCAGTTGGCTTCCCAAGAGGTAATGGTATGCAGAAGGGAGAAACTCCATAGTCACTTCCACCCAACAGTGGAACCACTGCAGTAATTAAAGCCAAAACAAAACAGAAGAAAATGGCTATTCTTATGCTAGTGAAGGTGGATTTCGTTTCAAACTTTGTGGCATGTTTCATAGAGAACCAGCGCTCAAGAGCTGCTAAAGTGAGCAGGAAAATGGAAGCTTCAGAAGCAAAGACAGAGAGAAGGCCAGTAATGTGGCAACCTACTCCACTCTCCCACCAAGCACCATAGTGAGCAAAGACCCCAAACGTTAGTGCATCCACACTGGCGAGCACACTGCTGGACATGCCCATGAGAGTGTTCACAAGGGCGATTAGTCCGATTAACAACTTTATAGAGGAGATGAACTGTGGGAATCTGAAGATTGTGACAGCCACTAGTACATTGCAAATAAAGGTCAAAACCACTATGATCCAAACTCCAACTCTGATTAGCCAACTCCCAAAAAGGTGATCACAAGGCTTGAGGGGTCCTGCAATGAAAAGAGAGGTAAAGCAGAGTCATACAAAACTCACTTCATCAATTCATAAACCATATTCAGATTTCTACACATTTTGGATATATAGCGATGTACTCCATGTATCCTATATATAGCATCAGCCCTCTCACAGTTTTTCTTTATCCATAGGATTCTTAAGAGTTAAAGAAAAAAAAGATATTAAAACAAGAGCTGTGCTAATATATCTAAATCAGTACCTGGAGAGGGAGAACACTGTACTGAATGATGAGCTTTCAGATCTTCATCAAAGTCAAGAAGAAAATCCTCAAAGTCATGTTCATCTGTAGCAAGGAATATCATGACAGTCAGTCAGTTATATTATGGCAGACATAATCCTTTTGCATATAATTACATGGCATGGGGAAATGACATCACCTGCAGCAATGTAACTAAGAAACCAGGCATGTAAATTCCAGGCACGGAACTCTTTCACTGGCAGCAGCTAATTAGTCTCCTTTGCAGTTCATCACTGTGTAACAGTCATATATAGAGATGGGTCTTGGTTCGTGGGTCATCAAGCTTGATGTAATTAGTCCCCTTTGCAGTTCATCACTGTGTAACAGACATATATAGAGATGGGTCTTGGTTTGTGGGTCATCAAGCTTGATGACCCACGACCCACAAATTGCCCCATGGGGATCAATTTGTTGGGGTTTTTTTCTTTAGACAGAGTTATATATATAAAAGCTGAGGGGCATATTTATATAAGCCACAGCCTGCCCCCACCCCTTTCCCCCCTTTGCAGTTCATCACTGTGTAACAGACATATATAGAGATGGGTCTTGGTTTGTGGGTCATCAAGCTTGATGACCCACGACCCACAAATTGCCCCATGGGGATCAATTTGTTGGGGTTTTTTTCTTTAGACAGAGTTATATATATAAAAGCTGAGGGGCATATTTATATAAGCCACAGCCTGCCCCCACCCCTTTCCCATTGCTGCTTACCTTCCCAGCTGCCGCCTTCTGATCCATGGCGGTTTCTGTGGAAACAGAAGCTAGACTGCTGGAACCTTGGTTTCAGTTCCAGCAGCCTAGTTTTTGCTAGAAGCAGCAGGGAGGGCTTCCCTTCTGGCAAGCCTGACTGAGGCAATTCCTCCCACTGTCTTTGCATCTGGCAAGCCTGAGGCAATTCCTCCCACTGTCTTTGCATAGACAGCAGGTGTATGGGATCACTCCAGTAAGGCTTCCCCCATCTTTCTGTGCCCCAGCAGGCATGGAAGGACAAGGGACCCAGGGGATCCCTCACCCTCGCTGTCTTTGCAAGACAGCAGGGGTGGGGTGGGTTGCTTGGATCAGGCTTCCTCCATCTTCCTATGCCGGGACAGGCATAGGAAGATGGGGCAAGCCTGACCGAAGTGGGAAGTGGGACTCACTTCCTAAGCAAAGTGATCCCTCTGTCTTTTTAAACAAGGGGTGGGAAAGCTGCCTGAAGGGAAAACCCCTCTCTGCTTATGCCTCCATGGAACAGCTGATCTGCAGGGGCATAAGCAGATAGTGATAGATGAAAGAACAAATATTAAAGGGTTGTATTTGTTGCTTTGTATTCATTGGAGTCTCCGGACCTCAAGAATATGAAGCAACAAATATTTGACGAATCAGCAATATTCACTGAATATCGGGATTTATTTTTATATTTGTCCCCATGCCTAGTCACATGCAATGAGGGATCACAGCAAGGGCTCTTATAAGAAGTCACTAATGTAATTATATTTAAGAGGATTTAGGATTTTTACAAATAAGATAACAATTAATCTTATTTGTGGCTATGGAGGAAATACTGTGACAGTCTAATATTCTGATCTCATGCTGAATTTTTAAAAAACAAAACTCCAAGCTGCCAGGTTTGGATTTACTGATTTTTAAAAAACCTATTATTGGGGAATACAAGTGAGATACAGATAAAAGTAACTCTCCAAAACAAAAAACAAAATCAGCAGGTCTGAGTCCAGAGATATTGAAACCAAACTGTAATAAACTCCTCAACCTGAATCTCAATTACTGATCAATTGTGCTGTGTTTCCAGGGTCTACCACCAAATTTGTTGTAAATAGCACTTCTTCTGATCTTATTTATCCAAATTATTTTGTTTATTTTGCCCTCCAAAGTATTTGGATCAGTGATGATATACTGCAATTGAGAATGGAAGTGTGATGGAAACATTAGAGGACTGGAGTGAAGCCTTGCAGTCGGGGCTGCTTTTCAACCTCTTTTGTTTATGAGGAATTCTGGCCACAGCACATTCTGTGTATGCTGGCCAGAATGACATAAAGAGACCTAAAAGATTGCCACTATGCCCCATAGTGTAGCAAGATTTGTAGCAAGAATATTATAATATTTATTCACTATGCCCCAACAGTGGCTAGAAAATAATCTCTGAAGGATTTGTAGCAAGAATATTATAATATTTATTATTTCATTATTTCCAGAAGATAACTCTTACTTTGCCTGTAACTAAGCCTAATTACAAGTTAACTCAAAAATGGCAACACAACACTGAGTGCCATATGTATGACTATATGTCTCTTGGGCAAAAGTCATTGGTGTGTCCTCTTTGCAAAGAGCACCAAGAACTCAGGAAACAGGTTTGCTCCCTTGAGGTCTTGGTTGCGACTAGGAGAAGAAGAGGAAAGGAAAGAGGGACCATGGTGAGACTTCCAGGGACCTAGGAGAAGAAGAGAAAAGGAAAGAGGGACTTCCAGGGACCTTCAGGCATTGTCCCACCCATAGACAAGCAGCTCCTCAGCTGCTGGGTTTGGAAGTCTCCAGGCTGGAGAATGCCAATCTGGACAAGAGGGAAAGCATCCCTTAGAGGGCGACCCCTTCTACAGCTGACGGGCCCATATCAAGTTGCACTGAGGATACTCTTTGTGGGGAGTGGGAAAGAGGGCTTCTGGTAGTGGGCGATTCGACTCTCAGGAACATAGAGTGAGGGTTCAGTGATGGTTGTGAGGACTGTATGGTGACTTGCCTGCCTGGTGCAAAGTTGCAGACATCATGTCTCATCTGGATAGGCTGGTAGAGAGTGCTGGGGACAAGGTAGAAGTGGTGGTGCATGTTGGCACTAACAACGTGGGAAAATGTAGCTGTGAAGTCCTGGAGGCCACATTTAGGTTGTTAAGGATGAAGCTCAAAGCCAGGACCTCAAAGATAGAATTCTCGGAAGTGCCACCTGTTCCACATGCAGGGCCAGCTAGACAGGGAGAGCTCACGTGTCTCAATGCATGGATGAGACGGTGTTGTCAGGGGGAGAGGGTTAGATTCATTAGGCACTGAAGAATGTTTTGGGACAAGCCAGGCCTATACAAGAGGGATGGGCTTCACTTGAACGAACATGGAACCAGACTGGTGGCATGCAAGATTAAAACAGTGGCAGAGCAGCTTTTAAACTGAATCCCAGGGGAAAGCTGACAGGAGCTGAGTGGTGTCCAGTATGGGACTCCTCATCCCTGTGGAATGAGGGTGGAGAGGGTAGAGAACCACCAAGTGAGGACAGTGTAGGAATTACTGGGAGTGTGATGGCACGTGATATTTGGTCCAATGGAATGAGAAGCTGTGGAAAAAAGGAAACAAACAAGCAGCCCTTCTTGGGGGACCCCCGTACACAGGTGCTTTTATGCAAAAGCCTAATGTCTCTGAGCAAAGATGGGAGAACTGGAACATTTGGTGGCTACGGATAACATTGACAGAGTGGCCATAACGGAAACCTGGTGGAATTTGGAGAACCAGTGGAATACTGCAATCCCAGGCTATAAACTCTATAGGAGGGATAGGGAGGGGTGTGTTGGAGGTGGGGTGGCCATCTATATCAAAGAAGAGGTAGAATCCAGCAGAATGGAGATGGGCTTCAGATCTGATTCCATCATAAAATCACTGTGGGTTAAACCAGTGGTTCTTAACCTTTGTTACTCAGATGTTTTTGAATTGCAAATCCCAGAAACCCCAGCCAGCACAGTTGGTGGTGAAGGCTTCTGGGAGTTGCAGTCCAAAACTCCTGAGTAACCCAAGGTTAAGAACCAGTGGGTTAAACTACCAGGCCCAAGAAGCAACGCAATAGTGGGGGTATGCTATTGTCCTCCAGATCAAAAACTTGAGGAGGACCTTGAAATGAGGAGACAAATCAGGGAGGTGTCCAAGAGGGACAGGATTGTAATTACGGGGGACTTCAATTATTCTCACATCAACTGGGTCAATGTGTGCTTGGGTCAACAAAGAGAGACTGGGTTTGTTGACATGCTTAATGACTATGCCTTGGAGCAACTTGTCATGGAGCCCTCCAGAGGACAGGTGACTCTGGATTTAAAATTGTGTGGTACTCAGGACCTGATGTGAATGTCACATGGTACCTTGAAGACTTTTAAATTTTAATGTGAGCTTTTGTGGACACATTCACCTTGTCAGGCATATGGAAACAGAATGAAATGTTGAATGAAATATCAGTTTCATACTAAATATTAATTGGCTAAGGTTCCTAGCGCAATCCATGTTTTGATTTATAAAATTTCCGCATTACGTAATGTCCCGGAGGATGCATTAATTTCATAAACCGAGGTATGCTTGTTGGTTTAATTATATCTTCAATATTATAATCTATGCATCTGTGTACCTCTCCCCCGCCCATTTTTTTTGGTAAACCCCTTGAGACTTTGAACTGGGAAAAGAGTAGACTATAAAAGAAATGAAATAAATGAAAGCTCCTTCCTGCAGTGTGAAATATTATTCTGAAAAGACTTCTCTCCTTTTCTGCAACTGATGAAAATTAAGCCTAACTTTATTCCCAATGAAAACATCACATGGAAACTACAGCAGTATTAGTCAATCTATGCATGTCTAACCCATTTACTCAAATTCTATTGTTCCAGGTGCACCATTAGTGATGCTTCCAGAGAAAACAGGTAATGATGAGAAATTTACACACTGCAAGAAAGGCAACAATTTTCCCTTCCCAAGAGGATCAACTTTGTTGGGAGAAAATGCAAAAAACATTGCTCTACTAGGGTGGAGCAGGTTATCTTAATAAACATGTAACTGTGCTGTCAGTGTCTTATTAAAACAGTACAATTAGAAAGGGAAACATTTGTTCAGTTTCCAGCTAGAAAATCCCCATGAATAGCAAATATTCCATTTTGCATTTGATTTTATTAGTTTTAAATTTACCATGTGTATGGAAAATGCTAACATCTTTTCTCTGAAATTCATCTGCACTGCTGTTCTCTGCTTTGTTCCACTGGTTCTGGATTTTGTAGTAGCTGTCACAAGCTCCAAACGCACAACACTGGTACGCATAAGGCATTTCTATGACCCTTTAATGTAACAAAGAATATGGTTACACACATTAACAGGTCTCAGTATACTAACAAGTCTGCGGAGTCAGTATAAAGAGTAGTTAGCATTGAATTGAAGCAATCAAAAGTGAGGGCTCTGATCAATTACATAAATGCAAAAAAGCAAGCAAAATCATGTTCTTAAAGACATCATTTGTACGTTTCAGAATATTTTGTTTTCAATGTTTATATTGTTTCAGCTTGTGCTTCCTCATTGACTTCCAGTTAGCTACCAAGTCAGGCTGAAGGTGTTATGCTCGGCTTGCAAGGAATAGGTGATCTGAGGAGTTATCTTCTTTGATGTAGATTTCCTTATACTGTTGGTGTTGAGATTTTGATATGAAAATGTATTAAATATTAATGTTGTATAGTTAAATGTAAAATTGCTGATTTTACCAGAGTCACCGTACTGATTGTGTTCACGTGTCGGTATCAAGGATTAAGACTTAATGTTGTACATTTGTGGACATGATGAAACTTTGTGTAACAGAAAATGAAGTAATGTATTTTCTGATTGGTCATAGAACTGTACATGTCATGTGTAAAATGAACATATTTATCTGCTGTAAGTCAGATCACTTTATCCTATGCTGTCTGTTGCTTCATGTCATGTTATGCTGCCAGAGGAATGTCTATTCTCTACGTATATATGTAAATAGACTAAGTTGTTGGTTTTACTCTCTCAGTGTCATAGTGTCATAAGCATTTTGTTGTTTAGTTAAGTCATGTCTGACTCTTAGTGACCCCATGGACCAGAGCACGCCAGGCCCTTCTGTCTTCCACTGCCTCCCGGAGTTCGGTCAAATTCATGTTGGCAGCTTCGATGACACTGTCCATCCATCTCATCCTCTGTCATGCCCTTCTCCTCTTGCCTTCACACTTTCCCAACATCAGGGTCTTTTCCAGGGAGTCTTCTCATGAGATGGCCAAAGTATTGGAGCCTCAGCTTCAGGATCTGTCTTTCCAGTGAGCACTCAGGGTTAATTTCCTTTAGAATGGATAAGTTTGTTCTCCTTGCAGTCCAGGGGACTCTCAAGAGTCTCCTCCAGCACCACACTTCAAAAGCATCAATTCTTCGGTGGTCAGCCTTCTTTATGGTTCAGCTCTCATTTCCATACATCACTAGTGGAAAAACCATAGCATTGACTATGCGGACCTTTGTCAGCAAGGTAATGTCTCTGCTTTTTAAGATGCTGTCTAGATTTGTCATAAGTATCTCTGCTAACCAATATCTCCTTACTCTCCTGATGTTATGAGAATACATGTTAGAATCAAAATTCTTAACAGCTAGGCCCTTACTTACTATATTGCAGCCAAGTGAAATTCCTTTAGTTCTGGGGCAGAGAACCTTTTTCATTGTAAGACTTATTATATGGAAGGATCTCACTGAAACCAGCTGGGCTTCCAATGTCTGTTGTCTTTGCTCCACTGAAAACATATATGTAGTGGTGTACAGTAGTGGTAAATTTGGAAGTTCATCATGAAAACCCCCACAGCTGATACAATAATGGAATCAGTTGGACCCTTTTCAACAAATGCATTCTACCATTTTTTGTTTCGGTCAAGTACAGATATTTTGTAAAGCTAATGTCCTTTAATTGCACATACAAGACAACACTATTCTCATTTTAGCAGGGCAAGATTGTAACAATACTGTATACTGAAAAATCCATTTCTCACCCAGGTAGTGAGGGAAACCTGAGGGATCTCACAGTCCTTGCTAATCAGAAGGTTCTGGGATTTCAACTGTGTGAGCCCAGGTTCTGCTTATTTGTCTATCTAGACATTTTCATGACCAAAAGACTAACCAGTTTCTTCTACTGATTTTAAAGAGACACTTCATTGCTTTATTGCCTAATTGCATTGTAACCTGGTTTTCAATACTGTAATACATATGCTGCTTTGAGATTCATTGTTTAAAACAACAGATCACATTCAAAAATGTCTGCATAAATGAATGAATGAATGAATGAATGAATGAATGAATGAATGCAGTGGGGAAAAAAAGCCCTACACTCCTACCCACAAAAGAGAGATATCGCAAATGCAGGGGACTCTATCATTTGCAGAAGTACAAACAATTGTGGGGTTAAAATATATAGGGATATAGAAAAACCCCAAAACAGGCCAGAGAAGAGTGAATATGCTCAGTGTCTGACTGACTGGAAAGCAGAAATTACATGACCACAATTTTAAAAAGTAGGCCTCTAAGATTTGCGGTAGATCCCACCTGAGAACAGATAATTCATCCTCTGAAGATCAAACTAGATGTGATGATTACGCATGTTTTGATGTGGCATAGCTAATTTCTGGTAAAAGCATTTGTGTTAAATAGCATATATTCATTCATTTATTTCTGTTTATTAATTATGTTGCCATCTCATCTTGCTACTAAAGTTAGTAATCCAGTTATATAACAAACATAATTAAAAACAAACTAAAAACATGTTCAAGACAAATTAGATAGCACAACTATTAAAATACCAGATTAATTAAACCAGAACACTCAGTAAACATCAATATAGTTGGCTTGGTTAAAGAGCATGTTCATACTCTTCCTGAAACCAGTGAGAGTGGGAACGGAACATAGCTGTGACTTCTAGTATTCTGGCTGTATTACCAATTGGTGATCACAATTCTGGTAAGCATCTCCCATGAACCTACACTACATAATACCCCAGGATGGTTATACGGATGCAGTAAACTGTCACCAAGTGCCTTTTTAAAGCGATCTTTAATCCTATCTCTCTGCTCCCATGTGCCAATGCTAATTTTCAAAAGAGCACAAAATCAACAATTCCCCCTCAGATGCTTTACAGTATTTTAACATTTAGTGAGCATTGCAAAATATTTTACTTCCCTTCTCAAACAGCCTTTATTAGCAATTTCTGTTTTTTTTCCTTTTCATTTACAGATTATGTTGTCCATTTAAAAACAGTGAAAGCTAATGAAGCTAAATAAATAGACCAGAGGGCAGCATTTCACTATAAAATTAAAATCGTACAAAATAATTTTCAGAAGAGTGGCTGAGCTTGGGTATGTGTTTTTTGAAAGGTATTGTTGAAAAGCAGATGTGTTTTAAAATGTGCAGCTACCAGCATGTTTGAAATCATTCGTATTTTTTTGAGATTTAAAAAAGGATATAATAAGGCCATAATTTTTACCATGCTACATCTTCATTTCAGTTCTGTGGTTCAAAGACTTTGAGTAGGAAGCAACACACATTATACAGTGACACCCCTTCCATTGCACATGAACACAAGTGTGCCTTATTAGTTTTAATGAGGTACTCACTTGAGTTCTGGAAAGTTTTCAGATGATATCAAACTTTGTAGTGCATGATTTCCTGTTAATTTTAGATGAGTTAAACCATATAGGCCAGTTACAGGAAAAGAGAACAAAAGGTTGGATGACAGATCTCTGCAAAATAACAAAGAAAATCAGCATACAGTTCTGGAAGGATGGGATTTCTTTTTTGCCCAAAGATATTTGTTATTGTTATAAGTTACTAAACAAACAGAAACACTACTTAGCAGACAAAAGGTGCACCAGTTTTCATTTGGATTCAACTTATCTGGATTCAGTTAAGACATCACTTTTTTAAGGATAAGTGGTTACAGTCTGTCACTTCACATGACAGCACAATCCACAACATTTTTCTCTCATACAACCCATAATGAAATGAATAGGAGGACTGCAAGAACATGGCAAAAATGCTCCCTTTGGTTTTTACTGTGAACAACTCTTTGATGTCTTAAGGTCCCTGTCTGCAATCAATTCCAACTTATAGTCACCCTTTCCTGGGTTTTCTAGGTAATAAGAATTCAGAAGTGGTTTACCATTCCCTTCATTTGAGAGTGCCCCATAGGGGCTCTGCAGCTTGGCCAGTACTCCATAGGCTGGCTCTTTTCCCAGGAAGTACTGTGGGGAATTCATCTCCCAAACTTTGGCCAGATACCTAAACCATGGAGCTACTACCTAGCTATCTAAGGTCCCTTTACTGAAGTGATATTTACTTCGATGGCAGGACTCACAGCAGTCTTTGATGTGAAGCTGGAAATCCCTTACTATTATAGATAAATGATTCTGGAAGTTTTTTCATTACTTCTTGAAGATCCGCAGTCATATCTTCTAAGACACAATTCTGTGTCGTGTAATGAAGGGGGCTTGGTAGTGTGCTAGCATTTTCAGCAAATTAGCATCATGCATTAATAATAGTAACAATAAATATTTGGGCAAAGACATGTGCATGGATAAATGTTAGATTACACAGAAGTGACTTCACAGACTTAAAACAATGGAATGTTATTTTTAAACAGAAAGCCTGCTCCTAGAAGAAGAGGGATAAATCAGAGGTGGGGGAAAATATTTTACTAACCTCTCTGAAGTAACAAGATGATCAATACGAATAACATTTTAAGACAAAGAGAATAAGATTATTTTTATGCCTATGAACTGTTAAATGCTGCAGCAGTGCCTGAGAGGATCAGTAGAAACTGTCTCCACTTTAGCAATAGAATGGTAACAACTAGAGTGAAACAACTGCAACCAGGGAATAATTCAAAATTAAAATAGTCTCTGTTGTTTGTATTGTTGAACTTTAGCACACACTTAAGAAATGGGAAGTCTTCCCAAAATTTCCTCCATAATACACTGATGTTATGTATCAAATCAAAACGCACAACCCAAAAGTTGAAAGAAAACGTGTATCTTGGGAGTCACACATCTTTCTCAATTTCTAACTTAGTCTAACAGAAGGAGAGTCTGGGCAGTATTTTATCATTGTTTGTAGGTACTTTAAAGAACTGGAGTTTAAGACAAGTCTCAATGTAATCCTCAACCTCAGTACCCATTCACACTGAGCATGATATTTATTCTTGCAGTCGGTTAATCAGGAAGGGCTCAAGCTGCCCATTGTTGAAGCAAGGAGGCCACCTCACTTAGCAAAAGCAGAATAAGGCTGCCCTCCACCATGGACTTCAAGCTGCTGCTATCCATTGTGGAAACTATTTGTGAAAAGCATATTTATTTTGATGAACAAAACATATTGATAAAATAGTCCAGGTGTTGGTTTTAAACCTGCAACAGGGCAGATTCAGTACTACAAAAGTACTGACATTAATCTTTCTCATCATTCCTTCTTTTCCCTCAGATTACCTGAGTGTCAGGGAGAACTCATGTCTTGCTTCTACAGTCACTATAACGAGCATGTGCAGCAACTTTTACTGATGCCAGGAACCATGGGAAATACAAACATTTTCATTGCTCCAGTACACTATGCTATACATGCTCCCATTACTGCCTATACCTACTTATAATGCCACCTCCAATATGACTCTTCTCCACCAACCCAGTGACTCAAGGAAAAAAGTGGGAAACGAACAAGGCTTGTGTTAAATGCTAAGGGAGAGGGTGCTGAAATTAATCGTAACTAACACCAATTCAAGCCCCAGATTGACCATGGTCTGATCCTAAATGAATCATGTGACAGCAGTCCACACTCTCCCATTTAAGATTTTACCATACAGTTATTTAAAATAATCTGCAGTTATAGACTATTCTACTGCCTGAAGACTGAGAACTGCTTCTCTATATGTTTCAATGTTCTGTAAACTTTCTTAATCTCTTCTGCCCTGGGCCGAATAGGTTTTTTTCTGCCATTGGATATTTCAATAATCCAAAGAGGATTCCACTGAACATTAAAGGAAGAAAATAAGCAAACACTTACAGTTTATTGAGGGACAGTAAAGAGGAGAATGCATTGGCATGAATGATTGATATCTTATTCCAAGCTAAATCCCTACAAAAAGGACAAAAATATTATGTGCTTAGTAATATTTTACATGGAAATTCATTTTGAAACTTTAAATTAAAAAAAAGAAAAATGGAAGTGTTTCTCATACTTTTGACTTCTGATATTTTGATTTTAGGCTTGAAAGTGAGAGGTATTTGATGTTTAAAAGTTATCACAGTCCCTCCAGCTATTGTTTTATCTGATACACTTGGAACCCCACTTTGCTTCCATCTAACAGAGGGCCGGTGAGTCTGGAGAACAACCTTCGCTCTGATTTGGACAAAACACTGCTGCACCAAACAAACTGCAATTTGTTGAATTATGAATGGGTGATTTTAACTTCCCTTTCCTGCTCTTTTCACATATTCATCTTAACAGGAGACTTCCATATTTGCTAAACTACCTTGATGAATTAGGAAACTGGCTGTAGGCACTGCTAGCATTTCAGCTTGTAAATCAGGACTGAACTGTGATATGTATTCCTAGTTTGTAGGCAGTGTTTAACCTGCAATTGACCAGTTCAGGTGACACAAGAATCTGTGATTTCTGAAGTCTCCTCTTAATTGTAAGATGGCAAAAAAGAATGAGAGGAGAACTGAATGCATATAACCTGTTTCCCCCAAAATAAGACCTAACCTGAAAATAAATCCTAGTATGATTTTTCAGGATGCTCGTAATATAAGCCATACCCCCCAAAATAAGCCCTAGTTAAGTGAAACCCCACCCTCCACTATTGTGCAGCATTGTGCGGCAACCAGAAGATGACATGACTGTAAAATAAAACATCCCCTGAAAATAAGCCCTAATGCATTTTTGGAGCAAAAATTAATATAAGACGCTGTCTTATTTTCGGGGAAACACAGTACATGAACAAACCACAGGGCTTTTTTCCCACCAGCATATGAAATGGACATTTCTATTACCTATCACCTTTTTACCTGCTTACTTTTCTCCTTTTTTTGCAACATTCCCCCATATCTTTCTTTCTTCTACCTTCTCTTTGATGCACATACTCACTGGATGAAAGCTTCATTGATACAAACACAGTACAATACAGTGGTGCCTCGCATAGCGACACAAACACAGTACAATATAGGAATGGTCTGAGCTCTTTCTCTTCAAGCATGACTAGTCTTGCATTCAGCAAAGCTAACTGCTTTTGTACTTTATAAAGTCTGTTCCTTTTTATTTAAAATGATCATCTGTATAAAAGACACTTAACTTTTCCATTGAAGTGTACTAATGAAACAGTCATATATAACTAACTCAAACTTCCTATTTCTTCAGAGAATTCTACAAGTGGAAGCTGCTTCATGGGAGTAATGTGTTGTAGGGTTTTTTGTTTTTTGTTTTTTTTTTGGTTCTTGGCTGCGTGAATTCATTGCTGGAAATGCTCAACGTCAGAATGTTTGTTTTGCTTTGGCAAATCTAATCCAGCGAGCTGAATGATCAAAGGGGAAAAATGGAAACCAAAATATGTAGGAGCAAGCAGAATAAAGGAATGTCAGCTTCTATGATTTTCAATACTAAGGTAAATGGTTCTTTTATGACTATACTCACAGAGAACGCAGGGCAACCAGCTGCTGAAATGTGCCTGTTTGGATTTCGTATATTTCATTATGATGTAAGTCACTGTGATGAAAACAACAACAACATACATTATAAATAAAAACTTTTGGAGAATTTGAAATATTGCTCAGGATCCAATACTTTGTTCAGGTTGCCCAAATGCTAGAGTGCAATGTTATATTCCACACTACTCTGGAAAAGTCCCATTGGATTCATATGACAAATGGCACAAGGGTGTACAGTTCAGAGGTTACGTTCAAGACATGTGAGTTGAAAGCCTCCTTGAATTTGCAGAACTAATTTTATAGTTCTTTTGATTTTGGTCACTGTTCAGCATTCTTTCTGAGCTGAGCATTATCTTACAAATATAATTTCCAATGTTCTTGCACAGAAGGAGTCCCTTTTCATTTCAGAGGTACATAACCTGCTCACCTTGTGTCTTTAATCTGAAGGAAGAGAACAAGGCTTAAGGAGCTGGAATGAGGAATAAGTCATGAGTATAGTATAAAGAGAGTCAAGGACGTTGCATATTCAGGGATCAAGGTCTGGGTTTATCCTTTTGTGTTACAAGCCTACTATTCAGAAACTGAGAAGCAACAATCCCTTGTCTATCAAAAGTTGCTTATTATTATGTTATTTATTATGTCAGCTTTCCTGAGGAGATGCACATTGTACTAGAGAGAAAGAGAAGAAGAAATGTGTGATGTGATGGGATAAAACGGTTCACCCTTAACCCAAAATATGCATTTCAAATGCAGCCAAACAAAAAAAATCCTATGTTTACAGATGTGTTCCCTAAAATGAAGAGGATGGGGGAGAGTGTTCTTTGTGTTCATAGATGAAAGGCTTTTTAGAAACCTTACATTTTCTGAAGTTTTTCACAGGCGGTGAAATGAGGCAAGTCTTTCAGCTGATTATATGAGAGGTCTCTGAAATACAAATGCAGAAAAAAAAACATGGTACATGATTCTGTTAAATTGTAAAAAAAAATTCTTGTAGTATTTTCCTCCAAAACATAACTCCTATTTTTATTGTTTAAAACAATAAACCAAATAGTTGATTTTAAAACATTTTATCTAGAGGGATCCCATCTTTTTAGTTTTAATCACAGTGAAATTTAATTAGCTTCCCAGACTACACTTAAAATTAACTAATTTTGCTTCTGACCTTTAGAACTGCCATATCTTTAGCTAAGGAAAGTGGTTTGACAAACTTGAACTAACTCTGAAAATCAATCACTGTAAGGAAAAAAGCCCTTCAAATGATTTGAGCCAAAACTCAACAAATTACAGAATAACTGAAACATCTGGACTCATTTATGGCATAATATAACTAATCAGAAACAAGCCATGGTAATTTGCAGAAATTGTAAAAAGAAGAAAGAAAAAAGGGAAATAGATGTGCATCCTGTACTCCTTTGGGCAGGGAAACCTCCCATCAGCTTTAATAGGACTTTTGCCTCTATTAAGAAAGAAATGGGACTGGACACAGGGACTTGCTTTTTCCCTCTTTCTCTGGCTCTCTCTTTTATTTATAGATGTTAATGTTTTATGACTCTGCTAAACCTTCAAAATTAGCTCAGATTTATGCAAAGTTTATAAAACTGATTTTAAGCAGAGTGAATATTATGGCACAGTGGATGCATCTGTGACTAAGCAATGTTCAAATGGTACCCTGGGTTCCAGAATATCATCTTATGGCTCATCAAGTGAGGATTAATGTGTTAATGGAAAGTAAAATGCAAAACTCACAGTAACCTTTTCTAGAAGCATATATTTCAGGGATATGGAGAAGATGCTACTGAGTCAGGGCTTCCGATTTTCCAGTTCTTCCAAATCCTTCTTTTTACCATTTTACTGTCCATAATGAAACACTTCAACTAGCTCTTTAATGAAGTAAATTATGCCATAACTACATTGTGTGTAATTTTTTAATTTGGGCTGATGTGCACTGAATAGCTACTCGCATATTACTTGCTATAAATGAACCAGCAGATGTTGTTCTGGCTAGGGTAGAGCAGATGATGGGAAAGGCCACTGCATGAGATCCTGCAGGTGTGTTGCCAGTCTGAGTTGTCAATACTGGCCCCAATGGATAGAATGTTTGACTTCATACAGGATAGCTTCTTATATTACTATAATACCATTCAATGATGCAAGCTAGAAGGTGAATTTATTTATGGCTTTTAACAGATAAGCTTCTTTCAGATAGCATTCACCTCTTGTGATTAATAGTTACTTGAACAGGGGAAGAACAGGACCATTTTCATTCTTCCAACAGTACATGCATTGTTTTGGTGTTTGTGTGTGGGACAATGTCTACAGAGGGCCCTCAAGGAGACACTCATTAGGCCCATAAGGAAGAAACCTAGTTTGGCAGCGGGCAACATTGGTAATTATAGGCCCGTCGCCAATGTTTCTTTCCTTAGCAAAGTGGTAGAGAGGGTGGTGCCTGACCAGTTCCAGGCTCTTGTGGCTGAAACTGATGACCTGGATCCATTCTAGTCTAGCTTCAGGCCGTGCCACGGTATGGAAACGGCATTGGTCGCCCTGTTTGATGACCTGCTGAGGGAGGCTGACAGGGGCAAAATGTCTTTGTTAGTCCTCCTTGATATCAGCCACCTTCAATACCATCAACTACAGTATCCTCCTGGGGAGGCTCTCCGAGCTGGGAATTGGAGGTCTGGCGCTTGCCTGGCTCCGATCCTTCTTGGAGGACCGTCGTCAGAGAGTACAGCTTGGGGAGAGTGTTTCAGCCCTGTGGAGCCTCAACTGTGGGGTTCCACAGGGCTCGATTATCTCCCCAATGCTGTTTAATATCTATATGAGGTCGCTGGGTGGCGTCATCAGGGGGTGTGGGGCTTTGTGCCATCAGTATGCTGATGACACCCAGCTCTACATCTCCTTTTCTTCAACCACAGTGGATGCCATTCCGACCCTTCAGCGCTGCCTGGAAGCTGTACTGCAGTGGATGCAGGAGAATGGACTGAGGTTGAACCCGGACAAGACGGAGGTCCTGAGTGGCCACTCTATTGGTGGTTTGGGAAACTCCCTCTCTTTTGGGGGTGTGACTCTCACCGTGAAGAGTGAGGTTCGCAGCTTGGAGGCCCATCTGGATCTGGTGCTCACTATGGAAACCCAGGTGGCGTCAGTGGGCTGCTCCGCCTATGCAGATTGCCCAGCTGCGTCCCTATCTTGATGTTGGGGGCGCTAACCACTTTGGTCCATGCGCTTGTAATCTTGAGATTAGACTACTGCAATGCACTCTATGTGGGGCTACCTTTGACATTGATGTGGAAGCTTCAAATGGTGCAGAATGTGGTGGCCAGACTTCTTATTGGGATGAAAAAATATCAGCATATTTCCCCCACTCTGGTTGCCTTGCATTGGCTTCCCCTTTCATTTCTGCATTGATTTCAAAGTGTTAATGATGACATATAAAGCCCTAAATGGTTTAGGACCTCGATATCTTGTGGAACACCTCCTCCCACCTAGATTACCTGAATCACTTGTTCTAGCCAGGAAGGGTGGTTGAGGGGTTATATGCCGAGGGCCCCCCGGAGAGAAAGAACAAGAAACTGGGCCTTCTCGACAGTGACCCCTCGCCTTTGGAACAGTCTCCCCTCAGAGATCTGTCTGGCTCCCTCGCTACATGTTTTTAAGAGCCAATTTAAGACCTAGCTCTTTAGGCAAGCTTTCCCTCCTGTCATCACTTGATATTTTTTTAAAATTTTTCCTCCATCTTGAACTATATTATTATTGCTGCTTTTTAATTTTATTATATTGTTTTTCTTCTATTTTTATTGTTAGCCGCCCAGAGTAGACATGTGTCTAGATGTGTGGGGTATAATTTTAATAAACAAACAAACAAACAAATAATTCTCATTGTATGGAACCCTATTCCTGGCTCACTATTTTGTGAGAGAGTAGGCCACAAGTGTGCAGATGGTTCTTCCCAACAGTCTCTCCTCCCTCACACACATATGAATTGTGGGGACAAGATGATGGGAGGTGGGCCCAACAGGCACAATGCTAGTCAGAAAATATTATCAAGGAAATAGCTGTACAAGCTTCTTTGTAGCTTCTCCTCATGCACCTGTCTCTTGTTTGAGCAGCTAGACATTTCTTGGACTTCTGCAAGGAGGTACGCTGCAGCATCTCCTCATGCAAGCCTGGAACCTGTACAACTGCTCATACGCACCAAACCATTGTGCAAACAGAAATAATGAACAGGATTCTGCCCCCATCTTGAAACATATTCTTCACATTTTCTATTTCTGATTTTTTTTAATATGAACTCTTTTCTTACTTTTAAATAACACTTGTCAGTATGCCTGCATACACTTTTGACTTTATAACAATTCAGTTTAGTTGGATGCTAGTCTGTCCTTTATGGGAATGGCTTCATTTATTGCTCCCTTTATCACTAGCACAATGGCAGGACAAAAACAGTACATCTTTTTTTTTATTGGACGGGCCACTTTGGTGTTGATAGTGTTTTACAAACAACACTATTAAAATGTTGCCTAGGCAAACCAATAATAGAGACATTCATCATGATGTAATTGTTCAAGGAAAATGCAGCTGGCCTACTCACAAAGAAGTAGACAGAGTGATGACTTTTGATACTGATTAAACTAATGTTCAAGTATTCTTGACCCTAAAAACAATAACATACTGGTTAATCATTATATAAACGCAGGCCTCCTCCTACACATCTAGGCAATACTGCTGAATACTAAATTAAAATGTCATAGAAAAAAATTAGAATAATGAACCCTAAGGTATCATTGATACCCAGTGTGGTGTAGTGGACAGAGTAACGGAGGCCTGGGTATGAATCACCATTCAGCCATGGATGTTCATGGGGGTGTAGAACTGGCCAAACTATTTTTTTAAATATCTCACTTACCGAGAAATCCCTGTTAGTAATGCTATAGGTTGGTTACAATGTAAAGACACATAACAACAAAAGATATCACTATACCCAGTATGGTAGAGTGACAGATTAGGATGCTGAAGGACAGAGTTCGAATCCCCACTTGGCCATGGAAACTTACAGTGGAGTGGAACTGATAAAACCGGTCCTTAAATATCTTAATTACCTTTAAAGCCCTATTAGGGTAACTGTAAATTTGTTCAGACCTAGTGGTGTTTAACTAACTAATGGAATGGAAGCCGCCTAGAGTGGTCGTAGGACCAGATGGGCAGGGTACAAATAAAATAAATAAATAAATAAATAAAAAAATAAGCTTTAATTCACAGGATTTGAGCAGTTCATGGTAGGAGCTTTTGGAGGTCAGTAATTCATAGTGTCACTTTATATCAAAACTGATTTGATGTCAAATAACAACAAAAGGAATCACACAAATGAAGTATAGGCAAGGATACAGTCTTCCCTCTTTCAGTGTACGTTATGATTCAGTAATATTCTGAGAGAGGGGGCGGAGAGACTAATGTTCATAGGGTCTAAAGTCTACAGAGGATTTCTGACCCTAAAAACAAAACACCAAGCAGAATGAAGAAGCAGGCAGAATAAAGAAATATGAACTTCCCTCATTTTGATTACCAAGCTAAATAGTTCTTTTTTGGCTATACTCAAAGGGAGTGCAGAGCAATGACCTGCTGAAATGTGCAGTAGTGTTTACTTTGGATGGAAGCTGAAGTACAAAAAAGGTGCATACATGGCTGAAAACCTGTTGCTTAGCATAGTAAACTGAATTAGAACAGGCCCATTTTGAATTTATGGAGATGTTCACTCACCAAATCCCAAACTGATTCAATATACCTATTCTAATGTGACTTATTATGCTAAGCAGGATTTCAGCCAATGTATCCATGCTTTGATTGAGAGAAGCTGATTTGTGATTGAATTTCTTTGCTTTTGGCAGAGTTATAGCTCTAACCATAACTTTTAACTGAAGAATTTTTCTTCTTCTTTTCTTAGTACATTTTTTTTGTGCAAACCCCAAAACTTGCAAAATAAAAAATTGCTTTCTGGATAAATGTTAAGTATTTATTTATGAATGCATTATTAACCACTCACTCAGTCAGACAATCATTACTTTTCTCACACTCCTTCTCCAAAGAAATTAAAGAAGTTCTCCTCACACCTATTTTGTCCTAACATCAATCCTATGAATGACACAAGAAAAAAAATGTTTGGTTCGGAGATTGGCCAATGAATCTCACAGCTTAGTTGGGACTTGAACCCAGGTCTCCTTACAACATTCATCTGGGCAAGCAAGAGTGTTTCATTGCTGAAACCAGGCCTGAGATCAGACTTAAAAGTTGTCTCCAAAAGTGATTAGCATTGTGGAACAACCGTTAGAGCAGCTTCGTACATTCACCCTGCAGTTTCATGGCTCTGTGGAAAGTTGAACTGACATCCTCTTGTCAAAGGGTCAAATTAGATGTGATGCTCAGCTTATATTTAGAATCTGATAGCATGTTTTCCCTGCCATGAGGGGATTTCCTTAGCGACCGAGCCAATTAAGACTGTGTTTATATCTTCATAACAAACCACACAACAAAGCAACTGAATCTGCAAGATATTGAGATAGTAACTGATCACACACCAAAACAAGACATGCTTCTAATAACAGGCGACTGGAATACAAAAGTAGGAAACAAAGCATAACCAAATGCTTTGGCCTACGGAACAGAAATGAAGCAGGAGAATGACTCATAGAGTTCTGTGAAGCCAAATACATGCTTTGAACAAATGAACAGATGGTACAGTGTACATTACCAGATGGTAAATGTAGAAATCAAATAGACTATGTAAATGGAAGCAGGAGATGGAGAAGCTATATTCTCTCTGCCAAAACAAGACCAGGAGCTAATTGTGGTTCTGATCACGAACTGTTACTATCAAGCATTAAAGTAAAAAAGAACACTAAAAGAATCATGGTCCTAAAGTACAATGTATACAACATTCCTGAATAATTTAAAGTCCATGTAAGAAACAGATTTGCATTGCTAAACTCAATTGACTGTGAACCTGAACAACTATGGATTGAAATCAGAGATATTATTAGGGAAGAATGAAAAAATACAATTCCTGTAGTAAAAGGAAAAAGATGATGGAAGAAACACTTAAAATTTTAAAGGAATGGATAGAAGCAAAATAAAAGATGACAGAAAAAGGATCAGGATGATGGATGCAGTTTTTCAGTAACTAGACCATAGAGACAAAGACGACTATTAGAACAGCCAGTGTATGGCTTAGGAGGAAGCTGATGTCATATACCAAGATCCAGGTCTATAGAGTCTGTCTCCTGAGTACACTCCTGTACTGCAGTGAGTCCTGGACCCTTTGTGCATGGCAGGAGAGGAAATTGAACATGTTCCATATACATTATCTCCAACGCATTTTGTTATCACCTGGCAGGACGAAGTTCCAAACAGAGTAGTCCTAGAATGAGCTGGAATTTTTAGCATGTATACATTACTGAAACAGTGATGTCTATGTTGGCGTGGGCATGTAGTGAAAATGGTTGGATTCCAAAAGATCTCCTGTATGGAGAATTAGTGCAGGGAAAGCGCCCCAGAGGGAGACCACAGCTGCGATAGAAGGATATCTGCAAGCAGGATCTGAAGGCCTTAGGAAGGGGCCTCAACAGATGGGAAACCTTGACATTTGAGTGTTCAGCCTGGAGGCAGGCGGTGCAGCATAGCCTCTCCCAATTTGAAGAGACACTTGTTCTGCAGATTGACGCAAAGAGGCAGTCCTGAAACCAGCAAAATCAGGGAGCTGGACAGGGGACAGATTGTATTTATCTTCAGTGTGGGAGGGATTGTCACTCTTGAATTGGCCTCCTCAGCCACACTAGATGCTGTTCCAAGTCCTCCATTCAGAGCACGTTACCATAGTCTCTAAAGACTGAAGGATGCCTACATAGAACATGATGGCATGTAACAACAAAAAAGAGCTCATGCTAGGACAAACAGGTATCACTGAAAGGAGCTTAACTTCTAAATTCAAGCTAAGCATCTTGTTCATTTTGCCACCTAATCCAACAGTCTAACTACTTGGTGACTTTGGCAGTACTACCAGTAGTGCATCAAATTCATGTGACAACTACATCACAATCTCACTGCTAGCTTATTTCTTATGTGTCTGTTTATGCACCTTTAAATTTAGATGTCTATATATGACTGTATTTATACAAGTATTTTATGTAACCTTAAAATTCTATGTTTTAACTTAAACTCATCTTTACACTTACAGTACTTGGAGACTGGGGAGTTGATCACAGACAGTATCAGGAAGAGATGTAATCTGAGTTCCTGTAAGAGTCCTGATAAGAGAAGAAAGTATACACCATCAGTGCTTATTAACTCATAATTTAACCCACAAACATATAAAAATTAAAGTGCAGGTATACCAATTGCTCTTTGCCTGCCTCTGATTTCAAAGAGTCACACTGCTCTGCTTAAGCTTCTTTTCCACTCTCTTTAGTCTGCTAGCAGTTATGTTCTCAGTGAAGTTAGTATGCAGTTAGCAGTTAGTGCGGTTAGAATACAGTCTGCAGGAGCCTACTGGAAGCCTGTTGCTGCAAAGCATTCATTTTCATAAGTATGCTGTTTAATCTATTCAACTGTAAGTAAATTAAACTTTTTAATTCTTTCTCTTACCAGTGTCTCAGAATGAGTTATTGAGAGTGTAAATGCCAGCTGATGAGACAATAAGGAATGATCTACTCTGGGGAAACTTGATGCTACTTCTGCTCTGTAAGTCCTTGTACTGCTGTGTAGCTAGAGGTTTTGTGTAGCTACCTGTGTAGGTAGAGCCAAAATTCTGCAACAGTTTACTAGACTGGTCTTCCCCCCCTGTGTAGGTAAGTGTGGGCACCCCCTGCTCTACATCCTGCACAAACTCTATCAAGTGACAAAAAAAAGTCCATGCCAAGAGACCAAAAGTCCATGGTTCTTCCTCTGAACCAGCTTTGAATGGTGGGAGGAAGGGGCATGGAATTTTGAAAGAAGGTCACAGTGGCTAGGCTCCTAGATCATCATCTCATGGATCAATATCCTTAAATTTTTGACATTATGTGCATGATATAGGGAAAGGTGTGTTCATTTCTTTCTCCACTATGAAAAAAAAACAAGATCTCAAGATCTTTGCCCCAGTAAGTGTATCAATCAGGTAACCATGTCGGTGGAATCAAGCCAAATCTGCAAAGCTTGGATTAATCAGGTTGCAAGTGGTCAGTGGAAGGACAACTCCTTTAAAGTAATTTAGCATTTACAGTAATTAATTCCATAAGCTTTCAGAGGTAACATGAACTATCTGTCTGATACTCACAAGCTTTCCAGACTTCTTGTCCCAGTCAGATCAGGAAACTCTGTTATCTGTGAAGCACCATTTAATGTCCTGAAGTTACAAACACAACATAATTAGTTGTTTCCTCTCCTCCTCTTCTTTGAACAAATGAAGGAGTTGTTCAGAGATGATGTGCTTTTAAAGATATCAGTACTTACAAGGTTCTTAGCTCAGGTAATTGCCGAAAAGCCGACTTCCCTACAACCTGAATGGGGTTATCATAAAAAAGGCTGTGAAGAAGAAGAAGAGAACTGTAACACTCAAGATTTACTTATAAAATACAAAAACAAATATAGTTATGGTTGTTGTGGGTTTTTGGGGCTCTTTGGCTGTGTTCTGAAGGTTGTTCTAGTATACCAATTGCTCCTTGCCTGCCTCTGATTTCAAAGAGTCACACTGCCCTGCTTAAGCAGGGTGCTGTCCTCTGAACATGCTGGCCACAGAGACTCGCGAAATGTTAGGAAGAACAACCTTCAGAACACGGCCAAAGAGCCCGAAAAACCCACAGCAACCATTAGATCCTGGCCGTGAAAGCCTTCGCGAATAGAAATATAGTTATGTTGGCCCATGAAAACAAAACAAAACTCCAAAGGCTGAAAACCTATTTGTAGCATTCATAGCCCAAACACAACTTTCCATCTATTCCACTCTGGTAAGTAAAGTGCTGCTACCATGATTTTCAGGGGCATTTATGCACATTGGCTTGATGTGTGCATGTGTGACCCTCTTGAGAATCTTTACCAGAGGGGAATGGACAGGAAGTTACATCTGGGATTATACTATACAAACAGGAGTTAACCCGATATCTTTATTGGACCAGGTAAAATTCCACAAAACTACGTAATATTCTGAGTTCTTCAGAATTGCTCATCAGTCTAGGTGGTTTAAAAAAAAAAGGTGTGAGGAGAAGTAGGGAAGTCATAAAAAAATTGGCCATGAAGTCTGCTAAACTCAGTCCAAAGATGGAGAATTTGTCCTAAATGACTGGTAGACGTGCTGGCATCACACTTCCTGAGGATCGTAGCAGTACTTACATAGATAGAAAAGTAATAAGATTGAAGAGTTGATCAATATATAGACTTTTCTATACCAGTCTTCATTTTAAAAAAATCTCAAAATGATTTATAATACTACAATGTTAGAAACACAAAGAATTCAATAAGATCAAATAAAACAGTAACAAAACACTAAAATATCATTAAAATAACTGAAGTCACAAGCCATAACTGACTGAAAATTGCCTTGGGAAACAATTAAATTTTCAACTTTCTGTGACATAGTGCATTGTGCACTGGGAGCTGGCCTGATATCAACTGGGAGATCCTTCCGTACAGCAGAAAATAGTATTCTATTCAGGTACAAACTGAATAAGTCAGTGGCATAGAACACTAACCCATTTTATTTTATTTTATTTCAAATATGTTTATCTTGCCTTTGTCCTTTAAAAGGACCCAAGATGGCTTACCCTAGGTGCTAAAAGACATTATTAAAAAGCTAAAAACAGTAAATGCCCATGTTTAAAAAAGAATCAAACAAATGCCTCACTAAAAATGATAAACAAAAATAAACACCAAAAACACATTAAAAACAATGAGGCACAACACTCCATTCCTTTTAAAAAATCCTTCTCAAACAGTCAGGCACTAAGGAAAACCCTGTCTAAAGAGAAGTCTGCAGCAAAGACGGGGCCAGCCTGGCTTCCTAATGAATATTTGTGGTACAGGACCACAAATATTTTTACAAATCTTTTTGGTTAACAGACCATTACAAAAGCCAAGAATCAGAGCTTACTAGTGTGATGGGCTTGCAATTTCAAAACTACTGTAGTTTCTTTATAATAGGCTAGAACTGAAGTGATGAGAAAGGGCATGTTTAGGAATCAAAATGAGATATCTCTATGTTAGAGGTGAGTAGAATGCTTAAGTGGGGTAAGAAATAGGGAGCAACAGGAAAAAATGGAAGAAGCATCATGTGTAAGGAAAGAGTGTGCATGACATTTCTGGCTGGTGACACTGATGTTCAACTCAAAATCAGGCATAAAGGAGAGAATGAGATTTCAAGAAGTCTGAGAAGCACTTCCCTACCTATACAATGCATCCCTCAAGATTGGCAGTGGGATACAGCAATTAGTTCCACATATTCTGTGTAAAGTAAACTGCTGCTACTTACATGGCTGTAAGTGATGGATTGCCCACAAATGCTTCTTCAGGTATCAACCTAATGTTATTACTGTGAAATCCCCTAGAAAGCAAACAACAGAAAATATGACATGCATACTAACAAGATGTAAAAACCACTTTTTGTTGTTATTGTTTTAAAGACATTCTAATGACTAGTTATTTGAGATAGGCTTGGTTGTTTAAAATTCTGGTAAATGAACACAAATCTTTATACTGTATTATATAATGGCAAGTATAGGAATGGCAGATGAGTAGAACTTGTACAGCTGCGCAGACAGGATATTTTCATAATTTGGTAATACAGATTACTAATTATCTCAATTTTTTTAAACGCCTAAAATGCGCATTAATACACTTACCCTTTGCACAAAAAATCCCTGATTAGTATTAAGATGAAATGTCTTATAATATAGTACTGGTTAAGTCTGTAGTATGCTGATTTTATGCATAGCTTCTCCTGATGCAAGTTATTCTTGTTAATGAGCCTTGCGACATAATTCCTTACGTGTTCATTTTGAAGCAGGCTGCACTGAGTTCAGTGAAAGTTCAGACCCCATGTAAGTAGTCTTATACCATTCTACTTTAATTGACACAAAATGTCAATTAAAAACAGCACAAAGTCCATGTGTATTTTACATTAGGATACAAAATACTAATGAATGTGAATATATATAAAATTCTATGGCACCCTGTATACTTTAGCCTTTCACACAGTGCCTCTGTCAAAATTTAAATGAATAAGCTAAACAATGTAATTACTGGCATTTATGGAGGAAACAAGTTCTCTCCAAATTAACTGCAGCATTTTATTCACATGACTAATGATCTATTGTTAAAAACAAAGACAGTAACAACATGGTCAGCAGGAACAGTAATGATTTGTGTGGGAAATGTTCATTTGTTCAATCAGGTATGAAGAAAGCCTCCCAGATATAAACTGAAATATTGGATGGTTGACTGATGCATTGTTTAGGCAAGATTATCAGCTGCTATTAGTGAAGACAGCATAAATGGATCAGAAAATGTGCTACATAAGTTAATTCTGTCCTTAGGCCAGAACCTAAAATTACTTTTTAAAAGTAATTAGTTATATCTAAGCACCAATAGGTAATGTTGCAGTTAAAATTGTAAACAACTGTTTCTTTCTCATTATTCAAAAATAACTAAAATATTCACATCCAAATTATTTCTTAAAACTTCTTTCTTTCTTTCTTTCTTTTTTAGAAAAACAGAATATTAGCATGCTGAGATGGAACACAATACTAAGTAGAGAAGACATGATAAAAGTGTCTTTAAAAAACAGTTACACCAAAAAAGGAAAGAAATTATTCCCAACTAAGTTTGTAACTAAGTTACAATCATAAGGTTGAATAATTTAAGCCTTTGTTACTACCAAAAGAAAGTAATTATAAGTAATTCTGATCTCAACTCTAGACAGAATAATGAAAATTACGGCAGAGTTCATCATTGAACATTCTAGATATTTAAACTGTATAATAAAACCCCAGAAATGTACATAGTGCTTTATCCTCATATTCTGGAAGTAGGGTCAAGAGAAAAGGCTTTATTGGGGGACCAGGCAACGAGTGTGCCAATTTGTAGCATAGTAGGTATTTGACCAGCACTGCAACATAATGTGATTTCAGCATAAATATTTACTATATGTGCACTATGCATCCACAAACAGGCAAAGACATTTCTCTTTAGGAAGGCTTTCTTTTAATGACTGGCTGTCTAAGGAGGTTTCTTAAAATGGGATTGTAGTTTTTGTTGTTTTTAAATGCGTTTTAGTAATGTTTTTATCTCTGAGTTTTTAATTTGTTCAATGTTTAATATTTTTAATTATTGTAAAAATGTATTGCTTTTAGCTTTTATATTGTTATATTTAGCTTTTACATTTTTATACGTAAGCCACTTTGGATCTGTTTTAGGATAAAGGTGAGGTAAATACACTATACTGTACTTTAAATAAATAAAGTATTTACCATGTAGGCTTGGAATGTGCATAGTAATGTTCAAGAATTGAATCTTACATATTTGATTTGACATGGTAGAGATATACAGTGCCAATCCCTAGGTTATGCATTTCAGCTGTTTAAAGAAGGGGAGAAAGTAGCCTAATGACAGGGCTGTGGATTATTTCACATAGAGGGAACAGACCTAGTACAGTACTAGGAAAAAGATGCAGTGGGGCAAATAAGATGTGCCTGCATAAAAAAAGAAGAAAATAAGAGATGTATGAGGAGAAGGGAAAAGGCAAAAGATTGCTAACTGTATATAAGTGTTAGCTCGTTGTTCTCCCCGCATGCTGAGAACAGTACTGTTTATTAGCTGCTCTCTATTGTTTTAATTGCTTTCTTTTGAGCATTTCTATAGATATATAAATCTCTTCTGTTGGAGGGATACATGAAGACATGCCAAAAAAAGAAAGTGCTTTGTATGTGCATATCTGTGAGTAGTTAGAAGTACCATGGCAAGTAAGTCCTAAATGCACACAAAAAGCTGCATGTGGTCAAGAGACAAAGGAAGGAAGAAAGGAAGAAAGGAAGAAAGGAAAAGAAAACTGAAAGTCCGAGCTAGAAGCTGAAATCTCATGCAGAACATCACAAGAGACCCACACATAAAGAGACAGAAGTCACAAGTATCCACAGGAAATGCAAACAAGCTACTCCTGAGGGCGGAAACAGAATAATTTGCTAATTTCACATTGTACAATTATATATTTACTTTTAATTTGACTCTAACGGAGACTAGCTTGAGAGTACTGGCTTATGTTCAGACCTTGGAACAATTCCCCTTTCAGGGGATAAGAGTTCCCAGAATCCCCCTGCCTATTATGGAGCTTATAAGGCTGGATGTGGAATTCTGGGAGCTGTAAACTGGAAGGTAACATTTCAGGGTCTACTTGTATTGAAGCACACACACATCCAACCCTGCAGCCAGAGGCTATAAGAAATTGTTGCATTGGTGAGTGACTGAGTTAGCAGATTTCTCTATCCATCCTGTACACTCAGATGAAGAGAATATATGAAGAAACGACTGAACTCCCAGAGGTCGGAAGTCCTGCTTTTAGCTCCAAGCATGGAACAAATAAGGAATGGGGGGGGGCTGGGGGCTACTATAGTAGAGATAGAAATCTCCTCAACCGCCTAAGCAACCCTTTCCCATCAATGTTGTCTTGGACAGATTAGTACATTTTATGGCTTCATTTGCATTTTATTGTCTACCAGAACATTTCTACACACTCACCGCTTTAAAAAGTTACCTTTTTGAGTAACAGCTTCTAGAATTTTCATGATTTTACTGGCGGTGGTGATTTTTTTTAAATTAGAGACTCTCCCCCCCCCCATCCATGCCCCTTCATGGCTTCTTCATAATAAAATGGATTCCATGTGAACCTTATTTTGGAGATTTATTTCAAAAAAATTACTGTGGCTGATATCAGCAGTTTTACATGGTGTCATTGTGTGAATAGGATTTCAAAACCTCCCCTCTGTATGCACATCTGTGTGACTTTTTGTAAGTCTGTTGATACTCATGAAGCATCATATGAATGAATAATTATTGGGGATTTCTAGAATATAGTGAGTTGTTCTTGTCTGAGAACTGGGGGACATTTCACAGATATGAAAAATTGTCATGTATGAAGCGGTCCTGAGATCTAGCTTTGTTAACAGCATTTAATATCACAATTTACATTTGAAGATTCAGGACTGGGAAAGTCTTTTAAAAGCATAATCATCATTCACCTATGTAGATCAGCCATTCCCAAACTTCTTTGGCCTCGGTCACAAACACATTATGAAAAAAAAAAATATATAGCCCGAATCAGGATTCCATAAATAACATAATAAACCTTATAAGGTCATGTATCCAGGCATATTTCCTGTGTCCATGATGGGGAAACCTCAGATGAATTTTTGTCTAAATATAATTTTTAATACATAAAATGTTTCCATATGTTAATTTATAGTCACACTACTTCAGATGATGGGGAAAGAAAATGTAATACAAAATAACATTTGCACCAGCAAACTGCATATGGTTTATGCCTTCATGGATTCATGGTGTGAATAATTCATGGCAGACACCCAGGAAAAGCATAGCAAGGATAAACAAGAAAGCTGCGATGCTAGTGGCTACCCAATGCACATTTCAGTAATATTCCAATAATTTTGTTATGAAGTTATTAGAGTAAGGATAACTAAAGTCAGGCTATCTCAATCTAGGGACAGCAGCAGCTACCAGAACAGATGCAGTTAGGCATAAATATGTCTCACTTCTGAGACTACCTACACTTCCAAATAACAGTTTTGAGTCAAGGAAGGCCACCCAACTAGATATTACTTATTTTAGGGAGTTGCCAATCCCATCCAGAACAGAATTGCCTCCTCAGTGCCTCCAGCCCTCAACTCTCAGCATTGTTCTAGTGGAATAAATGGCACTGTGAGAAGTCTACAAGAATCAATGCAATGGCTCTGGCTCGCTACCAATAAAAATCATCAAACAAGTTAAACAAAACAGTTTTTATGCCCTGTTCAAGTCTGAATGTGACTTGAAATGTGTTTAGATGATCTGAGATAGAACTATAATTTGTTTATAACTCCGTGATTGTGCAGAATAGTTTGCCCAAAGAACTGGGGTGAGTTCATCTCACTTCAGTCGTTCTTCCACCTTGTTATTATTCCCAGAATTTAGAATGTTATTGTTCTGTTTTCAGTGCAGGTTTTTTCCCCCAGTTACTTTATAAAATGGAGTATCAAGAATCCTTGTTAAACCACAAAAAAAACCAATTCCATTTTTTTCATCCAGCAAAAATAGCAAAATATTTTCCATTATCACTATAGGCTGTGTGATATAGTTCCAAATGATATCTGATATTTCAAGAGTAAAATGCAGACAGATCACTGGAATTATGCAATTTAATAGTGTGGTTTGGCTGGATAGCATTGAAATACACATTGTAATGCTTTATTTTAAAAAGAATGTTAATTTATCTATTTTATTTTTAAAAGAATGTTAATTTATTTCTATACCCAGAAGCAACAAATAAGCTTTTTCGGCCTATACAAAGACACTATTAAAATACATCTTGAGGCCAAAAGACAACTCATATATTTTTAAATGAATGAATGATAAATAAAGATGGTTTTAAATCTCCATAAAGATTCAACTGCAATCATTGCAGGTACAAACAACTTGCTGGGTCAGTGAATAGGAGCACAACAATCAGGGAGATCAGTTCCTCACTATGCCTTTGCAGCAGAAGAGCCAGCCTCTGTGGCTGTGGGCAAGCTACTCAATTCCAGAACATCTCCAGAAAATGGGAATAGTAAACCACTTCTGAGTACAACAACAATGTCAATGACAGAATTTGGACAAACCTCTAGCTATGCTGCCTGAGGGTTCTGGAAATTATGGTCTCTAAACCAGTGGTCCCCAACCTTTTCCCAACTGCGGATCGGCTGGGAAAGGCTCTGTGTGCGTAGGTGCATGGCATACTTATGCGGGGATGTGGCATGCTCATGCAGGGGTGTGGCATGCTTGTGGGTGGGTGTGGTGTGCTCACATGCATGTGCACAGGGGTGTGGCACACTCATGGGGGCACTCATGGGGGACAGGAGATCTGTGTCCATGGCCCAGTCCTGCCTAGGTCACAGACCAGGGTTAGATTGCGGAGTGGGGGTTGGGGACCCCTGCCCTAAACAATGCCCCCCCCAGTTCTTCAAAGAATGCATTTAAAGCTGGAAAGCAAGATCATTCGCTACCTCTGGTCTTCATGGAATATATAGTATACGATCACACTGCAATAGATTGATGCAGATACTGGGAATAAGGGATTTTTATAAACAATTTGGTACTTACAGTTCTTTCAGGTGTCTGAGTGACCTCACAGAAATAGGGAATTCATCCAGATTGTTGTAATTTAAATCTCTGGGTTAAGAAAGAAAAGCACAATAGCTAGTTTAGATATTAGTGAATGCAATTACTTATGTTTGAATTTGCAAGGAAACATTTATCTGCATTACATTTATAGATCCATACATTTATATTCCAGGAAGGTTGTGGTCGCTGCTGGTGTGGATTACCTGTCTCCCACATTTCTTGATAAAGCCATTCCTTGGTTCTAATCAGGAGCCGATTATGCAGGGGTGTGGCATGCCTGTGGGTTTTTGCCTGCGTAATATTTAAAGATCTACACATTTATAGACCTTGAGGAAAACAAATTGTCTTGCTATTATTTCTTGTTTATTGTGACAAGCAGCCTTGCTCAAATCTACAGAACTGATTGGTCAGAAAATCTCTTGCTGAACCAATCATGACTCCCCAAGTGGGATAAGAATAGTTGGTTTGGGGGGTGGGGCGGAGGGGAGAGTGAAACAATTAAGAGAAGGAGGGGGTTAACAGGGAGGTGGTTACTTTGTATGTCAAGACATGTGGGTTTCCGAAGTTTATTGTAGTTATATTGTATAAAAGAGAGAACTTGTTGTAGTTGGAATTAAAAGACACGAAACTGCAGGTCTAACAATTGTGCCATGTAATCATTACACTTTATAAATAAACTACTTTATTATTTGTTCAAAATTAAAACAGCTTGGATTTCCTGATTTGGGCTTTGGGCTAGCCCAGGAAAAGAAAAGGGCAGTTTAAAGGTGATTAGCCAGGCTGGTATGGTCACATTTATGATTACACTTTGCTTAATTAACAGAAATATTACATTCTGTTACTGATCAAGCCAATCTTATCTTAGAACTTCAGAGCTGGAAGGGGCCATATGGCTCATAATTCATACCAACTTCCTAAAGCGTAGACTATTCTTAAAGAAAAGCAAGAGAGATCCCACTGTAATAAGAGCAAAACAAAAGCAAGAACATGATTGTAGACATTACCATATGTTGTAGATTAAAATCTTATGTGTTTTGAAATATATTATAGCAAATATGAAGAGTATAGACTGGGAAAATAACTTTTAAAATGGACTATAATTTAAGAATTTGGAACTATCCTCCATTGATAGATGGCAACTCTCTTTGAATGTCAATCAAGAGGGAAAGATAATTTAAGCATTGATTTTACTTGTATAGAATCCAGTGCTTGTGTAGAAGTTTGTTTTGTTTTGTTTTTGCAGAATTGGTGAACACAATGGAAACAAAGCACAATAAATAAAAGGTCAACTCACAAAGTCTCTAGGCTGTGGAGACCATCAAAGCATTTCTTTCCCATGGAGTAGATCTTATTGTTATGGAGATGGCTGCAGTGAAATGTAAGGAACTCAAGTTAGAAAAACATACTCCATAAAGTAGGCGAATAAGGTACAAATGTTGATGGTTAAATCTAAAGAAAGTGTTTTTTTCCCCAGAGACAAGCACAAATATGTGCAATTTGCATTTTCACAAGGATGTAGATAGGATGGAATATTTTCTACCTGTCACTCATTCCTTTCCATTTATTTAGCAATTTAGTGTGTGTTAAGAGTGCCTATGTGATTTAGTTCTCATTTTTAATTTCTCTCTCTACCTTTGAAATACTTATTTCTATTCTTGCTCCTTTTTCTCCATTCCCTCCCCAAAATTTATTTTAGAAAAATGAAATGTTTTACTAGTTTAAAATAAAATTATAAAGCCAAGGAGTATAGTTGCAAAGTGGCATGATCAACCTTTTCACCTTTATTCTGGCAGACGGGATAATTTCCCTCAAACCCTGTTTGTTGGCTATATAAACAACTAACTCTATGATACTGCCATGTAAACAAATATATTTTAAAAATGCCCCCATAGTTTTAGGCATATGTCATTTACGTGAATTTTATTTTTGGTGGCAAAAAACAGCTGGGTCAAAAACTATCCCAAGAAATCTGTTGCATTTGCCCCAAGGTACTTTTTATTTGTTTGATTGTCTTAGCTACTATTATGTACTGAGTGGATGGGGAGGAGCTGTGTTTTGTTTTGTTTTTTGGGGCAAGCCAGGATGATAATAAGCAGAAGTGGCATATTCTCTTTGTCAGTAAGTTGGCCTCATTTGTGGGAGGGGGGCATATTGGAATTCTCAGCGGATTCAGGGAACACATGACCCACCAACCCTAACCCTTCTGCTATCCTTCAACATTAGAACTCTCAGAGGGTCAGAAAATACCCCAGACAGAAATCAGTGCAAATTTCTGCATCTGTTTGGATAAAGGCTATGTGTATTCTTAAGTTAGAAGGCAAGATACTCTTGTAATTTAACATTTGTCTAAAAGAATGACATTGGTAGAGATAAACAGTACAAAATAAATAAAGTATATCTGAAATACAAGGAATGAGTAACATAAACAAATCAATACAAGCAAATCAACTATTTACTTATTTATAGCACGGTCTATCACTGCTAGTCAGGGATGTGGTGGCGCTGCGGGTTAAACCGCAGAAGCCTGTGCTGCAGGGTCAGAAGACCAGCAGTCATAAGATCGAATCCATGCGACGGAGTGAGCTCCCGTCGCTTTGTCCCAGTAGTTCAAAAGCATGTAAATACGAGTAGATAAATAGGTACCATCTTGGTGGGAAGGTAAAATGGCGTTCTCTAGTCACGCTGGCCACGTGGCAACGGAAACTGTCTTCGGACAAGCACTGGCTCTAGAGCTGGACACGACTGGACTAAAAATGTCAAGGGGAACCTTCACCTTTACCTATCACTGCTAAATTAGGTTATAAAGCTTACACTGAAAATGAATAAAAAATTACTAGTAAGAAAGTCCCAGAGTTTTGTCTCTGCAAGCCTAGGCTCCACTATACCACCAGTCCTTTCACAATCAGAGTACTCCCTTATTGTTTTTTTTTTTTCATAAACAGAATCTAGAGGAGCAAGGAAGTACCAAGATGATTAGGCTGATGAGTCACTGGTAGAAGCAAGGTTGATAAATCATTGGTAGGCATGCAGGCATACCTGTTGGAATGGAGATGAAATCATGCATGCTTATCACTGACAACATGTGGCTCCTTGTAGTTCAGACAAATATTTCTTGCACACAAACTTCTTAATTAAAGCTAGATAATCACAGTTCTACCCTACAGGTTACATAACCTTAAGTTATCTGGAGCTCAGGCTTTGTAGGCTCTTTCTGCCCACAGATATAAGGTCAGGAGTTTGAACTTTGATTTCCCGTAAAAATTATATGTGATTGTTCTGGCCTGGGTTTAAGAAAACAAAAAACAAAACAAAGAATCCTATAAACAGCTGTGTGAACACTGCAGGGGAAAACAAAATCTCAAAATGTGCAAACTACTGAAACTCAAACTACACCCACTACAATCTAGATGGAAAATAGGCCTTCTTCCCATATTCAAGCAATTTCTCCCAAAAGCATCATGTCCAAAAGCTACAATTACATTTACATTTTTATTGACTGTTAGCCCAGTTTTTCCCCTACTGAACATGGTGTCAGATATCTCTTTGACCTGAAGTTTTATATAATTTCCTCAGTTAGTAATCATACAGGCTAAACTGCAAAGTATCAAAGCAGGAGAGAACAGAGCACTTGCCCATTTTCAGATAGGTCAATATATAATGGATAAGGGAAAGTAATTCCACATTGACACAAAGAAAATGTCAAAAGCAGACACAGTATTTAAATACATGTAGCCCAATAAAATACAATCCTTTACTTTTCATTATTTTGAAAAATAATATTAGTAAATAGCATGACTGATTCTGTTGCTTTTGACTGCTGAGGTAACACAATCAGACGCCACTGCTTATGGTTTGCCCCCTCCTACATGAGTACCTTACATAACAATTAGTGTCAAAATAGTACTTTGCACATCTAACTAACTGGGGTGCAGTCCACATAGTAATAAATACACCCTGACTACTCTTTATTGATTCTGCTGCAATGGAATAACCTCCTTGCTCCTCTAGATTCTGTTTCTGAAAAACAACAACAATAAGGGAGTACTCTGATTGTGAAAGGACTGGCGGTATAGTGGAGCCTAGGCTTGCAGAGTCAAAACTCTGGGACTTTCTTACTAGTAGGAACTATAGTATTTTTTTCATTTAATTTTTTATTCATTTTCAATAGGGATAGGATAGCAGGGACTATAGTATTATCTGCCCACCTGATTCCCTATTCCCTCTGAATTTATATACAACCACTGGGAGAGTATATGACTTCAGGTTATTCCAACTGTAATGCAAAGCCTTTGAGAGTGCTTTGCTCTTAAATGGACCACTCCTTCCTTCCTTCCTTCCTTCCTTCCTTCCTTCCTTCCTTCCTTCCTTCCTTCCTTCCTTCTCTGCTCACTGACAGCAATTGTTTTCAGCCCCTTTGGTTCTGGTTGTGACAGAACCCCATGCATGGAAGTGAAGTCACACGTGTGAGGGGCAGAACCCCACCCAGTAAGCTGAAAATTAGAGGGAATGTTGGTAGGGCATAAATTGCATGCACATAAGTGCTGCATTCATTGAATTTCTTCACAATCACAGAAAATTTGTCCTGTATCCAAGTAGCCCTGTTTTACTTGATTTTTACTTGATCTTCCCTTTGTTCCTAATTTGTTCACATGGATCAATGCAACTGCTTTCATTTTTGGACTCTTTCTTGGGCAGAGTAGTTATAAGGATTGTTATAATGTGCACTTTCACTTCCAAGTTTAGGAGGAGTATATTAACTTGAAAGTGCCTGGGAGTAACTAGCACAGTATTCCAGGTGCATGCTGTCTGCTTAGAAAAAGTAGCTTTCTGACATCCCAGACTTTTAGCATAACTACAGTGCTCAACTGAGAATGCAGAAAATGCCTTTCGAAAAGGCAAGTTGTCTTTACATAGTATTATGAGAGACTGACCCCATTCTCTCATACAAGTCTGCTCCCATCTCTAGACCTTCCTATTACCTATCATGAAATAGCACTTTACAGATTTTTGAGACAATGATGTGATGGGATCGGAACCATGTTTTGCCATCGCTCTTTGATATACTCATACCATTTCTAACAACTGCATGTTGAAATGTCACCTTTCTCTAAGGTATTGATATATACAGAATGTCACTCCTGCAGATTCATGCTACATTAGCAAGTATATCATAACATCAACACTAGAATGTAGTGGTTGCAGAGCTTGGCATATGTAATACAGTTCTCTAGGGAAATGTAATAGTACTGTAGTGTATACATTCAGAGTTGACCATGTCTGTCAGGTATGATCAAGTTGGGAAAGTTTCACTCTAATCCAGTAGTTCCCGAACTTTTTCCACTTGTGGCTCCCTTGACCCATCCCAGAATCTCCCCAGTGCAAAAAGGTTGCTGCCGCCGCTGCCTCTTCCTGCGCAGGCGGGTATCTGGGGACAGGGGTGTGGCTTGCCTCAGGTCTGCCCCTGGGCATGGGCAATAATGCATTAGTCATTATTTTGGCTGGCAAACAGATAAACCACCATACAAGGAGAGGAAGAGAGAGGCAGTGGTAAACGATGATAAGGTTCTGCACATCCCTGGCTGGGTTTAGCAGTGCCCCAGGGCACCGTGGCACATAGTTTAGGAACCACTGCCCTAATTCACTCCCAGCATTTGGAAGATATATTCTTCTGTGCTGCTCACAAGCCATCTACAGGTCACACTGACCTGAATGTTTGTGGAGTTAATAATGTGGACTATAACATCCTATGATTCTACATTTGATGGAAGGTGAGTTGGCAGCAGTTTGTTGTTGAAGAAATCTGGTCATGGGGCCCAAAACTGCTGTATCATGAAGTGTCTGTTTATTGAAACAGAGGATTGTGGGAACAGACTGCAACCAAACCTTATTTACCAACAATTCATTTCACATGAATTGTGAAATACGAAAGTCAAGAAAAGCCATGCTATAATTCATTGAATGTGAAAATCAAGAAAAGCCATGCTATATTTTTAAAATAAGACACAAGGATAAAAGAAAACATGAACATGTAAAGCCCCAATTTCCCCCACTAAATTCTAGCTGGCATTGTTAACTAATATTTGGATTTATTGGAGTTACTTCAAATGTTGCTACTCCCATCTGCGAAAAGTACATTCTCTTTGCTAGGTTTATATATATGTATGTATATATTAAAATGCTTTTACATTCTAACAGCCCAAAAATCTTTAAAGTGTCAGTTAACTACAATGTTATGTTTTGAAGTAAAACTTAAAAAAATAACTTACAGAACTACTAAGCTGGAGAGATTCCCAAAAGCATAGTCAGGAATGTGGTGTATTTTGTTCAGTGCCAGTGTCATTGCCTGAAGTGAAGGCAAACTCCGGAAAGCCTGTACTGGGATTTCTGTCAAAGAGTTGTCATCAAGCCACAGGTGTCTGAGTGAAACCAAGCCGCTGAAACAGTTGGGAGGTACAAAGCTGATGTGATTAGCATCCAGACGTCTAAGAGAAACATAAATGCAGAATTTTTAAAAATTGCATGTTTCTGCATTTTGTTGTTGAGTCACCATATCCCAATTCTTCTTTTCTCTTTATTTTTTATTAGCTACTTTATGTCATATAAATCATAGGTACATGTATCAACATCAATATCATTATTTACTGTCCATATATCTATTGGCCTTAATTTTCCTCAGAAATCTGATTCATTCATTTGTTCGTTCGTTAGAATCCTGTTGCGTAACTTTGTGCCAGCATAATCTGGATGAGCTGCTGGAAGCATTTAATTTAAATTCATTAAAAGTTTCCTATCCCCCTCTTTTTGGGTTGCTAGGCTCTGTAGGTCTTTCTTTTGCCCTGAGGAAGCCTTTGGGAGCCTCAGTATATGTGGGGCAAGCCTTTAATAATAAAAAAAATTGCTGCTGGCATTAGGAATACAGGTAGAAATAGAGCACTAATTTTTTTTTTTTACTATTAAAAGCTTATCCCACACATCCTGAGGATTCCAAAGGCTTCATCACAGCAACAGGGAGCCCTAGGAAGTCTTGGAATCTAAAAAGAGGTGGATAGGAAGCATATAATTACTTGACCCAGGTTACACCATGCAAAAGTTATGCCAACAGGATTTTGCTCATTACTGACTGATTCACTCCTTCACATTTAATGCACTTCTTAACCAACTTTCAAACCATTTGTCTTCCTGAGGAGGTCTACAATATAAGAAGTATTTCAGTGTCAGGAAAAGTGGAAGGCAGTAGCAAAAGAGGAAGACTAAATATGATGTGAATTGACTCCCTGAAGGAAGAAACAGTGTCTATAGCCATAGTAAGCAACCTAACCCAGTTAAATGTTTTGGATTATATTTCCCATAGTCCTTCATTACTGACCATGCTGACTAGGGCTGGTAGAAGTTGTCGTTCAAAACACCACGAAGGCTCCAACTTGTGAACTCCTGTTCTGTAATGTTAAGTGTTGGGAATATTTGTCATATAAGAATTGTGCACAATTTCCAACATAGAAGACAATGCTGAAATGTGGAAAATGTCCAAACCACAAAACACTTGAGTGTATGCAGTCTCTTTTATAATGTGCATTGTAGCAGCTGTAATTGTTTAGTATTGTTTAACAGCTAACACACATTATCTGGTGGCTTTGATGGAGTGATTAAATGGGTATTTGTCCCAATTTTTGGCTGTGTTCCTTCACTGTTCCTTTCAATATTTATTCTGTCAACTAGACAATGCCAACTCTAGTCTTTTCCCCAATAAAATTAACTAAGAACATTATTTCACATGATATTGGTGACAATTGATCCTTTTTAAACTTAAAGAATAGGGACGTGGTGGCGCTGTGGGCTAAACCACAGAAGCCTGTGCTGCAGGGTCAGAAGACCAGCAGTCGTAAGATCGAATCCATGCAATGGAGTGAGCTCCCGTCGCTTTGTCCCAGCTCTTCGCCAACCTAGCAGTTTGAAAGCATGTAAATGCGAGTAGATAAATAGGTACCATCTCGGTGGGAAGGTAAAATAGCGTTCCCTAGTCATTCTGGCCACGTGACAATGGAAACTGTCTTCGGACAGGCGCTGGCTCTATGGCTTGAAAAGCGGGATGAGCGCCGCCCCCTAGAGTCAGACACGACTGAACTAAAAAATGTCAAGGGGAACCTTAAACTTAAAGCATTTATTGTTCTTTAAGTTCGGTGTAGAGATGGGGGTATTTGTATACGAATATGAATATCCGTGTGTAGATGGAGTTAATGGGGGCCCACCCCCCTGGGGCGGACCATCCACTCATGTGTCTGCAGGTGGAGGCAGCCTCGCTCATCCTTCCAATCACTCCTGGAGCCCCGCTCTCTTCCTGCTCGGCTAGCCACTCCAGGCAAGGGGAGGGAGGATGAGTCTCTCTGCACGGCTGCTGAGTCACTACCCAAGCAGGAAGAGACTGGGGCTCCAGGAGTGATTGGAAGGATGAGTGAGGCTGCCACCACCTCAAGGCATGTGAGTGGATGGTCCAGCCCCAGGAGGAGGACCCTCGTTAACTTCAGCTGTGTTGGGATATTTGTATTCATATACGAATACAAATGCAGATGCAAATAATCCCATCTCTAGTTAGGTATCCACAAGGAACATCAATCAACATGCTAAGCCAAACAAGAATGGAATATATTTATTAGACTGACTAATGAACACAAAGAAGTAAACTTTCACATTTCATACAACTCTTTCGTAGATTAAATAGTCAACAAAAGCAGAAGTGGCACTGGTACAAAATATGAAATACTGCAAAAATACTCCATATTGGGAATACTGCAGTCCCAATAGGCACTACTGAGACAGTAATTAAAAAGTTGTTTCTACTGCTCTACTGCAGCCTAGTTCCATCATATTGTAGGTAGATTAAATTATGCCAAAAGAGACCTTTTTAAAAAAGCGCTTTCATGTTTTTTCAATGAATTTATGCTTTTGAATGAACTTTTTACAAAAACGTGCAAGTGGACTATAAGTAATCTGCACAAGCCAAACTAGTTTGTTTGAGAGAAATGGGGGCTTTGTAGTAAGGATGTTAATCTTTTTATTCAAAGCCTCTTCTTCATTTCCAGTAACATAAAATGTCAGGTCCATTTTATCTTCTTGTCCAGACTATTTCTACCTACTGCACGAGAACAAATAACAATTTCTGTGGCTTCGTGCCAGACTGGCAAATAACTGAGACAAGGTCAGTTGGAACAAATTTATAAAGTTCAGTGTCAAAGCCCTTTTACAATTAAATTTTCAATATCATAACTGACATGGCAGGCCATAGGGACACAGCTTCCCAAATAGCTCACAAAGTCTGTCAACAAACCAGAGAAGCTGGAAATGTTTAGAAACAGCCACCCTGAGCCTCTCATTTTTGCAAAAGCAACAACATACTTTGTGTGGAATTTTCACATCCAAACTTTAAAAGAAAATGTGGAGTTCTTTTGTATTTGGTAGGAAATACATTTCTTTCCTGTGTGATGTTTCTGGCTAAGCCAAGGACTTAAGAGTTGCACTAGCTTGACAGTTGCACTGATTAAAGGGAGAAGAAAAAAAGCTTTAATCAAGTCACATGTTTTTTTTCTGCTACAGGGTTAACACACTGGCTTATACATAGCCTAGATCTCACAATTTTAACATCTAACTCCAAGGTTGCTGCTTAATACCAGTCAGGTTTGTAGACATGATCTCCTTTGCACCTAGGAAATTCTTCTGCAATGTGAAAACTCAGACTTGATACTCTTAATAATGTATGGAAAATATACATGTGCAATTTGCTATACTTTGTCCCAAGTCCCAATCCAGGTCGAAGGGTCCCCTAGCAAAGTGTCATTCAGTGGCTCCCCTTATGGTTGGCAGTAGCAGTGGCTAGTACAACAGCTGGAATCCATTTTAGAGTTTACATTTCTCACTATTTTAAATTTCTCATCCTGCGTAGTACTGATCAGAATTGCTGAAGGAAATGTAAATGCTTTACTTAACATTCTTAATATAATGTTATTAATTTGTTTAATATTTGAACAATTCACTGTTTTTAACTTTAAAAACCACAGCCCCCATAGGCTAAGTGAATTGTTCAAAGGAGCCCAAAATGAAGAGTAGCTAGATGCACAGCTGAATATGTTTGAATAAGAGGGAACAAAGCCTGCCATGGAGTGGCTGGACATTTTCTAGTCTATACATTGCAGTAAAGAATAATACTAGTAATCTTTTCTTTTCCCCTGTACACACAATGCAAGCAAAATCTCTTCAAAATCTAAATTTTACTCCAGATGCAAAACATTAGTGAGAATCTAAAAGAGAGAGAGAGAGAGAGAGAGAGAGAGAGAGAGAGAGAGAGATAAGTTATTGCGGCACTTTAAAGATTTACAGATTTATATCAGTGTGAACTTTAATGAATCAAATCCACTTTGTTTCTTGTGAATGAAGAAATCAATTTTGATTCATGAGAGATCAAACTGAAATAAACCTGTAAATTAAAGTGCTACTACATTTTGCCTTTCTCTCTTTTTAGTTTAGTTTTCACACAAAAGAGCATGCAGATTAGGAATGCTCTCCAAAGAGGTTGCCCTCAGTGAAGCAGAGCATGTGCAGGCTTGGACCACCTGGATAGCTCAGTAGTTTAGGCAGTGATTGGGAGTTCAATTCCACATGATGCCTCCTTGGGAGGGGCTGGACTTGATGATCCATAGGGTCCCTTCCAGCTCTGCAGTTCTAAGATAATGACTAACTCACAGTTAGAATATGGCTCTCACTTTTTGCTTTAGTACTGCTTGGTATAATCAAATTTGGCAATATCTGGAGAACATATTCTTAAATAAAGGGAATTCAAGTTCTATGAATATCCTCAAGCACGACCTACATTTTAACAATTCCCTCTGCTCTCTGGTAGAGAGGTTGCATCCTGAACCAGGCTGTTCTGAGCCCTGTAAATGTACTCTTCTTATGACTATTTTCCAGTGCTTTCAGCAGGACATGCACCACAATGCTTAGCATTATACACTCGGAGGGAAAGTCCCATTGTATTCAATTACACTTACTCTCAAATAAAGTATCTGAATGGACTGAGCCTTTTATTGAGAATTTATCATGCACAAAATAACATGAAAGGCTAAATCCAATATTAGACATAATTGAAGTGCACCTATTAAAACTGATAGAATTTGATTTCAGTGGGCCTAACTTTAGGTACAGTTTGCACTAGATTTAGCCCAAGGCTGAATTTAGAGCAACTCTTACTCTTAAATAAAAATGTTCAAGGTCTTGTGTATAAACTGTTAAATGTTAATTGTTACAGTATATATAGCTAGGCATTTGACAAAAAGCACTGCACATCAATAAAGAAGTACAAATATCTGATTCACATCCAGTAAAGTTAATCTTTAACACACCAGACTAAGAGACAGTTATGCCATGTATTGCAGAATACATGTATTGCAGTATCAGTTAAAGGGTTCACAAAGTACTCTAAAAATGTTTCTCTGTTATCTAATCTTTTCTTTTATTCTTAAGAACCATTTTCCTACTCGCAGATAATAAAACATTTCATTAGAGTTTGTGCTTCCTGTCATAATGTAAATAATGCATGCTGACCTATAAAACATGAAATGAAACCTTAAGTTTTCAGTCAGTTGATCTAGTCGTGCTGATCAAAGTTTTGGCACTTTCAAAGCAAAATCCATTAGCTCATAAACAATACCTTACTTATAATTTAAAATATATGGCTAACATGTGGAAAGTTTAAAAGCAGCTATTATGCTTAAAAGAAGGCCAATTTAGGGATATAGAACATTTTATTTTCTATTATAGATAGCATATTAAAATACATATAATGTGAAATTGATCGTGAACTCACTTCTTAACATGTCCAAATTTTTAAAGAAAAATTCATGAAGCACAAGGAATGTAATCCAGTGTCATTTTTAATAACAGATTTTGCATGCTCTGGCCACATGCGCTACAGCTTATCTAGAACAATTACACCTGAAGAGTTGCAATCAGAATATAGCAGAAAGATTGCATGTCCTGTTTAGGGCAACACACACATGCATTATTTATGTTGTTACAAAGTGCTGTCTAGATTACAGTAGGAAAATGGTATCCACAGGGGATTGGTTCCAAGGACCTCCCCCCCCCCGCAGATGCCGAAAAACGCAGAAGTATTGAACACTATACATTGCATGGTCTCTGGTTCCTTCTTGTGGCCACTTCCGGTAAATACACCCTGAATGTATCTATAAATACATATTTTGGCGTTTTCTTTTTGTTTTGTTTTTTAGTCTTTTGGGGCAGTGGATAAATGTATCAGTGGATCCAGCCAGTGATCCCACGGATAGTGGGGTCCCACTGTACAGCTATGAGACATTTTAATCTAAAAATATATATACTAATGCATAATGAACTGCTGCATAGCTCAGTGGCTTAGGTATCTGGCTGCAGAGACAGAATCTGGGCATTCGATTCCTCACTGTGCCTCCTTGACAAGGGCTGGATTCAATGATCCACAAGGTCCCTTCCAGCTCTGTAGTTCTAAGATGAGGATGATGTGAAGCCATAAAAGGACATTTAAGAAACATAGTGGTTGAGTAGCCTCAACAAGGGCTTGCTCTTAACTTTCACCTATACTCTGACTTGGATTGTCCAAAGGGATGTACAAGATATCCTTGCAGTCACCTTCATAGTTGTCTTATTCCCTTTTCCACCTCTGTTTTTTAAGCATTCATGGAGCTTGTATAACACTTACTGAACATATAATATCTGCAAAAATATGTACGAGATAACAGAAAAAACATGTATCTCAAAGCGAGCTTGGAGTAAACTTACAAGGGCCATGTGGACTGGTTAGTTACTCTTATTTCAGAATGATGATGATGTGCCATCAATTCAATTCCTAACTCACTGAGTTATCCAGCCAGATTTAGTTCAGTGTAGGCACCAGGATAATTTCCTCTACCACACACCTGAAGGCATTTAAAAGCAAAGAGGTGTAGCCTGTATTTTAACTAAGAGAAAGACAAAGCCAGTTCAGAGGAATGACCTGGGGACTGTGGGTCCAAACTACCACTTCCCAAGGAAGTTGCTTCATTCTGCCTGAAAGTAGGTCCAGCTATGATACATCAAAAAATAACACTGCACAAACTCCTTATGGTGGTTGATGAAAGTAATAGCAGGTGTAAATGTGGAGAATGGGAAGAAGACAACCACCTTGGTCAATGGCATTCCAGTAAATTCATTCTGTGTTTAAACATAGAATATATTTTTGTCAGGTAAAACCTATTTAGGAATTACTTGTAGTAGATGGAAAAATTGTCAAAACATTTTGAGCAACCTGTGGAATAGCAGATTTAGTTTAGGTAGTCATACATAAACATGAGTAAAACAGGACAAAGGATCCATCAGTATTCTGATCAAAAAACTCTATCAACTAACTTCCAAATCTTGTTATATGTTGAACAAAGCTTGTATTTTGTTAAACACATCTAATTTTCTTTAAAGCTTTCAATCCCCCCCCCCAGTTTCCTGCTTTTCAAAAGTACCAAATAATCTGTATTGTAATTCAAAAAGCAAGACAAGAACCACCTTATGGGCAGAAAATGATAGGTACTATGAATCAAGAAACTAAATCTTTCTACACTTTTCAGACTGGCAAAGCCATTTGGATGAAATAAATAAATTCTCTTTTTCTTTCCTTCAAAGAGGTCACATTTACTAAAGATTCTCTTTCAAATGATAGTAGCTATTCTGTGCATGCCTTTATCCTTCTATCCGCTGTCTGTTCCACAACTGTTTAAAGTTCCTACTGACCACTCTCATTTTCTTTTTATTTTAATTCTGTCACCAAACACCAAGCCTTTACACAGATCACACAACTCCTCAGTTTTCTTCCTTTCTTTCCTCAGCCTCCTCTTCTTTGCCTTATGGGATGGCATTTGCAACAAAGAATGAAAGATGGAGAGATAGCTTTTTTAGAAAACCTGTTGAAGCTTCAAGTCCCTCTTAGTGTAATAAAGAACCCTCTGTTTCTGCAGCTTATCATTTCTTCAGTTCTAGTTTCTCCAAAAGATACAGTCTGGTTGTGAGAAACTGAATGTGGACTTAATACTGCAAGGTTGATGCAAGGGCTTTAAAAATGGCCAGAATGTCACCAGTTTAAAGCTCTCCCACAGTTTTCTTGCAATTTTGCTTCAATATCTGTTTTGTCGTATTTTTTCTGGCTTATTTCTTGAGCTATATAGACTGGGGACATTAAAATAAAAGCATGGGAACTCTTAAGCCACTGTCACTCATGAGACATGTGTTCATTGACTTTATTTTTCAGTGCTCAGACCTTTCATCAAAATGCAGATGTGACCTACTGTTCCAATTAGGAAGACACACACACATTGAAAACTAAAATAATTACCTTTTGAAATCAAACTATTATTCTTCTTTGACATAAATCATTATTTATCGTTTTAGTGTTTAAATACATGTTAAAATAGAAAGCTTTATTAACCGCATCTGAAATAATTCTATCAAAAACACAATGTCTTTGTGTTTACATTAGCTACAATGTATACACATATACTTACAGAGACTGGAGAGACCGAAGGTTTTGTAAAGCTTCAGTGGGAACTTGTTTTAGCAGATTATTTTGAAGCATCCTACATTTGTTTGGGGTGGAGTGGAGAATGGATGAACATGTTAGTACATCTGTTTTCACTACCTTATCCTGATTCCAAGAAGGAAGATAGAGGTCACATAAGTTTAAAATTTGCTAACAGAAAAATCAGGATCCTAATATATCCACATACATTGTACTCAAGTTCCTTACTGGATTGCTGAGACTTGAGGGCCTTCCCCCTCTTTCAGTAAGGGGATTTGTGCCCATTTCCCATAAAATACACATTTTTCCTGTTTTTTAAATTATGTTTTCATCCATTTTCTCCACTGACTAAAGTTTATCTGTTTGCATTTTCTAGTTCAGCATATTTTTTCAAACGTATACACAGCTTTGTTTATGTTTGTACACATGAACCCATCTACCCCATTCAGTGGCACATTTTGGTATTCATTGATCGTTTTAGTGTTGTATACTCACAGTTACTAACTGAAATATTGTATTTTAATTGTTGTAAGTCTCCTTGAATACTTTTTATGGAGAGAGGCAGGTTAAAATATTTTAAATAAATATATAAAATAAATAAATTCAGTCATGGTTCAAGCAGTGAAACAAATCACAAATGGAGTAATTTGACTTGCCATTGTACTTGCAGCCTAAATCTACCAGGACACTATATCTACAATATGGACATAGGATATTTCTTCAAATTCAACCATGCTTACAGTAATCAATCTACTCAATCTCTCCTTCTCCCCTCTATCCATAAAAATGATTCTACGCTTTGCATTTTTCATTTAAATGTCTACGAACTTTGAGAACTGAAATGTGCCCTTTTGTTGAAAGTTAAGGAAACAATTATATGAAACTATCTTTGCATTTGATACAGTACAGAAAAAAACTAACTTGAAGAGTAAACTTTTTAAAATTTTATTTTATTTTATAGGTTAGATATAGGGATAGGGGATAGGGGACATGGGATTGAACAGGGGTTTCAAATCAACATGAACATTTTACACTATTCATTCTTATCTATTACATTTCAAAGATACATAAGTTTCCGGTGTAATTAATTTATACTACATATTCTATTTCTAAATTAATCTTAGGCTTTCAAATATCAAATATTAATTTGCATTCTGTTTCTAATCTTAAGAGTAAACTGTTTTTGAAAGATCTTCCATATTTTCAGATTTAGCTATTCTTCAAAATAATAATGCAAAAGTTTTATTTCTTTAAAAACAGGTTTCATTCTTGTTCATCCTATGATCAAAACAAAAAATTCATTTAAAGAGAAAGTGTTCTATTCATATTAAGTTCTGGGAGCTTTCAACAATATATATGTATGTATGAAAAACAACAACATGTACTTTACTTACAGTACTTTAAGGCTGAAAAGTCCAGCAAATGCTCCTTTGGGGATATGTGTCAAGCCATTTCCTGCAAGACGACTGCAGGGTTAAAGCGGAGAAGATAAACATATGTCATTTTATGTGGAATTACTTTGGATGTTAAGCTGTACAAGATAGAGACACTGAAAGTAACAGTCAGGGTCAAATATAGTGGTTTAAGAGCCTTATTTGTCATTATTAACATTTTGTGCAAAAATAGCATAGACTATATGTTTCATTGACCAGCAACTAGGCAAATGCATTTGCTTTGATAAATCCATTTTATGGGACACATGTAATTGTTCAACTTGTCCTGCATAAGAAGCCAACAACCCAACATTCTACAGTATAGATTGGCTGCTAGACTGTATATCATTTTCATAACCTATATTTGCCTCAGCAGAGATGTGTAATCACAAGAATGCACATCAATGATCAAAGTTCATTGTAACTATTTCTAAAGAAGAAGCTGTGTTAGTTGTCTCAGCCCATGGTCAAAATTATTTGGGGGGGGGAGAGAGAGAGAGAGAGAGAGATAAGTTATTGCGGCACTTTAAAGATTTACAGATTTATATCAGTGTGAACTTTAATGAATCAAATCCACTTTGTTTCTTGTGAATGAAGAAATCAATTTTGATTCATGACAGATCAAACTGAAATAAACCTGTCAATTAAAGTGCTACTACATTTTGCCTTTCTCTCTTTTTAGTTTTCAGCATTAATTTTGCTAGTGTGATTAACTGTATAGTAACAAATATAGTTTTGTTTATTCTGAATGCTAAACCGAGTTTGAAAATCCTATTTGGCTATTATGCCAGCCTCTCTACCAATCTCTATTAATAGTACTTTTTAAATTTGTTTTTGTCTGAAAAAAAAATCTGCTTTTGCCTGCATAGTATTCTCTCTTCATTATGTTAGATTGTCATTTCTCAAAAGAGTGTTAACTGCTACTGGATGAAAGTAAATATCAGCACAATGTCAAAGGATCTGAGCAGTCTTAGGTCCCATTTCCAACTTGATGTCAACTTGATCACTGGGGAAGCTTTAAGACTGGCACTCATGTCAACAAGCCTCTTTTTGATAGTGCTGTGCATCATTTTAGGGATCAGTGCATGTAAGCACCACCACATGTGTTGAAACCTCTGTTTTATTTCTTGTAGCATTGACTTTTGATCTGCAAAATGTCAGAAGAAAAAGAGCAGTGGCAGAACTGAGGGAAGAGCAACAACAACAAAAATAAAAATAGAAGGGGACGCATGAGAAGTCTCAGTGAGATTATGACTTTACGCTAAATTGGTGGATGATGCTAGATGAGAAGAGGTGAATGGGTCTTCATGGTTAAACTGTGGTAATACAGCCAAAACTCTGCTCATGACCTGAGTTCAGTCCCATGTAGCCAGGACTAAACCCAGGTTGTCAGCCTTCCATCCTTCCGAAATTGGTAAATTGTGCTGCTTATATACCGCCCATAGTTCTTAAAGCATGCTCTGGGAAGGTTACAATTTTAATTATGCAGACAACATATTGTCTCCCCCCCTTTAACTAATCATAGTTAAAAGATTTCAGTTTCTGATCTGACTGAAATCTTATAACTATGATTCTGTAGGTCAGTCATTCTGCATTGATGCATTGCTTTTTTGATATGCCACTTATTTTAATTTAAAAAACCAAACAGAAAAGCCACTGCAGCTGGTCTTATTACTGTGCCCTAAAATAATCCTCTGTCAGACAATGAACAGAACTAAGGAAACAAACTCCTGAGGTTTGATCATTAGCTCAAAAATTATAAGAAAATAGGTTGATGAGATCAGTCTATGCTCTTCTAAATAGGATTTGAGGGCCTTTCACAGTTTTACCCAGTATAACAGAGTCTCTGTTTATACTATCAGTTCTGTACTGAACCCAAGGAATTTATGATTTGTTACTGGCTATTTGCCTGCCTAGGGATAGCATGTCTTATCAATAAACAATATTATACTTTAAAATCCACTGAAATGATTTGTATTGCACATGTCTCATACAATGTAGGATTATAAAATAAGCCTACTTTAATAATCACAGAAAAAGCACATGTTGAGACCATATGCAAAAGTTAAAAGCTGTCATTTGTACTAAGAAGCTTGCCAGAATATAAGAACAGTCACATTTAATTGAGCCCAGGGTCACTGTGGCCAGTTCTAGATTCTTAAGAATGTTTGTAAAAGCAATCTTCATTATCAGAATCCATGCCAGAGGTTCAAGGAAAGGAGTACAATACTTTTGCAACATTTTCAGTTAATTTCAATTCTTGTGCACGATATAAAAAGAATGTCCATGTTTGCTTGATTTTCCCTCACTGCCCATTAATTTAAATGGGTAACTTAGCATATACAGTGGTGCCTCGCTAGACGATAGCCTTGTGGGACAAAAACCACAAGACGATTGTTTTTTGCGATCACGATGGTGCCTCTCGAGACGGTTTTTTTCTGTGACAGTGCTTTGCAAGACTTTTTTTGGAGACCGATGCTTTGCAAGACTTTTTTTTTTTTGACCGATGCTTCGGAAGATGGTTTTTTTAAAGACCGATGCATAGGGAACCTCGCAGGATGATTTTTTCACAAGACAACAATTTTCGCGGAATGAATTAAAATCATCTTGCGAGGCACCACTGTAGTTTTATGAATCTTGGAAGAGTGGTTTACAGTTTTTAAAAATCTCACTGGCTTTATGCACTTTAGCCTCATTCATGCTCTCGGAGGCACCACTGTAGTTTTATGAATATTGGAAGAGTGGTTTACAGTTTTTTAAAATCTCACTGGCTTTATTTATGCACTTTAGCCTCATTCATGCTCTCTACACTGAACAGTCAAAGTTTTTCAAATACTCTATATGTAGCATCAATTTTGCAGTCTTAGAGCTACAGAGCTGCAACAGACCCTATGGATTTTTGAGTCCAGCCCCTGTCAAGGAGACAGTGGAAAACTGAAGTACCAACTTCTGTATCCACAGCTAAAAACCTACACCACTAAGCTTCTCCTAGCACGCTTTCCATTTCTACTGTAATAACACTGAGAGCATGAGTAGGAACATGCAGTGGCTATGTTTTTGAAGACATAATCAGATCTGTTCTGCAAGGATACACTAAGAATGAAAATGGATTTTGTCACTGGGAAGCTACATATTAATGTTTGTCTAGTTGAAGAGGTTTTAGTAGGTAAGCAGAATCCCAGCTACAGCAGTGGAGATTCTTTAATTAGTACAATTATTAAAGTATAGCAGCCCTGTCCCCTTTTGCACCCAGTTTTGCTATGGTTTATCTCACTAAAGAAGTGCAAATGATTGAACCTAGGCAGAAATGGCACACAGTTCCTGTTACTGTGGTCATTTTCCTGTATGTTTTCATCCGTTTGTTCACCATCTAACCAGAGGGTTCTGGCAGAAATTATGTCATATAGCAGTCCAAGAACTTGCCATTTATTGGACTGGGGTATGTGAAAGCAATCCAGTGAAACTACTATTCATGAATGGATACATTGATCGCTGCGAGGCTTATCCATGGAACAGGAAGCAACCCTATTATCTTAGCTACTCCTTGATATCGATTTTCACATGGTTTGTCAGTTTCAGATAGGATTTGCAAAAAATTATACATTCTAGTTTTTAGATTTTCAGGATTTTAAAAATTCTAAAAGATTCTTTTACCCTTGTATTGTGTGTCTTTGTAACTGACTTTGTAATCTTGTAAATGATTGACTCTTCTGGAGAAGCTTTATTTACTGATGATCACAACATGGATAGAATATGAAAAGCACAAAAAGTTGCATATTATATTCTCTTCAAAAAATTGTACAAAATCTTGTTTTGTTGATCTGCACATACAATCAGCCAGAAGTAAAACTTATAGTTATTTTGACAGTTTGTCTGAAAAACTGTTGTCATCCGAAACCAGTTTCCAAGTTATTCTGTTGAAAAAGAAAGGAAAAGTTCCATTGCTGCCCTAAAGCCAATTTATCTCTGTATTATCCTATTAAGGGCACCTGATGTAAAGATGCTGTGTAATAGTAGTGTATTAAAAACTTATTGGAGCTTTGCCTACTCTGTTTTTTTGTTTTAAATGGCCAATTTTCCAGTCTTCGAAAAGAAACTAGATACAGTATGTCTTTTTGAACAATGCTGAAAATAGTTCGAGCAGCATTACCTTTGCACTTGTAGAAGCAAAGAAGAGGCTGCAGGTTCTTATAGCTCATGGCACTCACTGTGTTACAGGTAGCTGTAGGAGACTAGATGGCAACACCTTGCAGAAAAATACAATGCACTGGTATTCAGAGCACCAGGGGTGCAATTATGAACCATGATTCTCACCAGGACATCCTGGAATGATCAGGTGTTATACCTCTCAGCAGTGAAGGTTTAGGCACATTTCTAGACAAAAAGTGTGTTAGTACTGGGAATGGAGGCCACTGCAGAAGCAAGTGCTTACAAAAAACACAATTCTAGACTGAAGAAGACCTTAGAAAGAGGATCTAGAGGCAATCCTTCTTGGTTCTGCCATCAAAGAGAGTAACCCCTACTCCATAGTGCTGCTGCAGGAAATTTTAACTGGGGTGTTTTATACAGTCATAACTTTTTGTCATAAGTGGCTTGCCAGAGTCAGAATTCATCAGAGGCTGTGCTATTATAAATCATGACCGACATAAAAGAGGAATGAAATTAAAGGCCAAACAGTTTGTTCAGTGGCTTTTGTCAGAATGCCAGTAGTAATGCCAGCGGTGTCTCACTTCTTGTTTCTAAAGTGTGAGAATTTCAACGCATTTCCAAATTTCAAGCTTTTACTTGGTTACTCTATGATATTCAGTACTTGTATGCAATGAATGCTTTCTGCTTCTGGCTTGCCACTGTCATTTTTAATGAATATTCCACTTGTGATCCTGTCTTTGATTAACTAGGTTTTATAGCATATTTCCCCCCTGCTTCAAACCCAAAACACCAAATAGAGCAAACTCAGCTGTACATGGTTCTCTGTTTCATAGTTAGCCTTGAGGGATGCCTAAAAACTAGAGTAAGGAAACAGCAATTAAAAGTGATTACAACAAGACGACTCAGTGCTATGAAAATGCGAATGCAAGTATCCTTGACACAGGCAGAACAAGGCAACAGGTTTTGGTTTTGATTATAATTTCACTTGCTATTTTAATAAACATGAGCCAGCATTCAAACTTTTAATATCCTGCTGCTTAACTATTTCCAAATAGCAATCCAGCTCTTTAAACAACCCTTAAAAATTAATTTGTACGGCTCTGTCTCTGCTTAGAAAAGTTGTAGTCTCATGGTAAGTTCATTTCCAGAATCACAAGTGATTGTTTTTTTTTTCTCAACTAAGTGTTTCCGTATGTGCCAAAAGTCACAGCTTTTCTCTGGTGTGTTAACTGGTTTCCAGTGTAAGTACAAGAGACAAACACATGAGTTTGTCTAGCTCTCAACTGTGCCAGGGATGAATACAATGATACATACAGCTCATCCAGGAATCGAAGATTGTGCAGAGAATTCGAAGGCAGCTTAGAAATGTTGTTCATACTGAGGTCACTGTAGAGTGTGAGAGAGAGAGAGAAAAAAAGAAAGAATCTTAACGGAGCATAATTGCAGCATCTATCCAGCTCCTTATTTGTACATTTAATGACTTATTAAAAATAAAAACAATAGTTATCCCATCAGGGCTGGTGGATTAATTATAGATACTCAAGCCACTTCCTTTGAGGTAGCTTTACATTTGGTGTTTTAAATGAAAAAACATCATATGGTATAGCAGTCCCTTTAAAAACAAAATCAGTTTCCAAGTATTATTTTTCATTAGCTTTCCTTATTAGTGAACCACTTTTCTTGCCTACAGTAATACGGCACTAGCTAGCTTAAGAATTAAAAATATGTTTCCACCAATGTTGTGTTATTGTTTTCACACTGCTAAATCAAGTACTTTCATTACCAGAAATCAAACAAGTATACTATATGCTCTGTTTCTAATGTGCTCCCTTTGAGATCCTCAGGTTACTTTAAATAAGTGAAATGAACCACAAAACAAGGATGCAATGTGATCCTGCTATGTAATACACTTCCTGGTGGGATGCCATAATTGATCCTAGTACAATCAACAGTTTTCCCTAAGTCAAATCAGCCTTAGTTTTATACATGACTCCACATAACCAATTTTGAAAGTTGCACTGTTGTACCTATGCTAGGACACCATAATTATCTGTCAAAATTCTACTAGGGAGAACACACTGAAATATACAGAAACCATACAACAGCATAAATCACATCTACCATTGTACATAACAGCAAAAACCACCTGTGAGTGGAGCTAGGAAAACACATGGCCCTCTGTATTTGAGCTGGTTTCTGCAGGACAACCTAAGAATGTGACCAGAATGCAGTTGATGATTGACAAATGTAGTAAATTAAATTACATAACTCAGTATAGCAAATTGCCACTAACTAACAAGGCACTGGTTTCCTTATGAGTCATTCACCTGTTGCATAACCAAATGTCACCAAGGAGTTGTAAATAATGTTCTTGATGGCCATATGAAGATTTTTGCATAATGAATAAAATAAAACAAAGTACAGTACAACAAAATAGAACTGCACAAAAATCATCCCCACAATCATTGCCACTGGGACATACAGTGGTGCCTTGTTGCACCGATTATCGTCGCTATGCAAGACCTTGTTGCACCAATTATCGTCGCTATGCAAGGCACCACTGTACTGTGAATTAGCTGCCTCAGATTGTGGGACACAGGGTGGTGGTGGTGCAGGTGCTATTCTGCCCTCTATCCCTGCAGCTACACCAGAAGGTTCCCCCCCCATGCAATGGAGACTATGGCCAGCTCTCCAGATACTCTTCTTCTTCTTTAATGGGGAAAGCAGTAGCAGTTCCTATGGCCTTCTGTATAAAGAAGCAGCAATAGCTCTGCACCTCTGCCATGGCAGAATACGTTGCAGCTGAAATTAGTATGGTTAGCAGCCTTGAACACCACTTATAGGGGCTAAAAGCTACTGTGCTGCAACAGCAACAACAACAAAAAACACATACTCCCCCCACGCCATTTACTGACACATCATGATGTCAATAATCAGAGGTATCAAATTCTTATTGTCAGTAGGTTCACCCCATTTGGAGGAGACATTACAATTCTCAGAAAATATAAGACATGTACATTAAACTAGCCACAACCCTACTGTTGAAACCTAACACATTGAAAAATACTCATAGCACGCTCAGTGCATTTTTTAAAAAGACATCCTGGTGGATGAAGGTAAAACAGTGCTGAGTACAGATTCAGTAGAATAAGTTTCATATTATAAGAAACTATGATAATCGGGTGATATGAATGTTATTAATGAACACATTTTAAATTTTTATGTTGGCTGTTCACTTCAGAGGCTTACATTACTTTTAGCCATTATTTTAAAACACAAAAATACATTTTTATTTTTTATATCCATTTCATTGACAACATACAATTATACATAGTATACTTGGAAATAAATGACATTTAAATTCATATTACTTAGCAATTACCATTTTCATCTAGAAATCTGCTGTTTTAGCAGTCACTTTAAATGGTAATTCATTGAACAAGACTGGTATAGTTATTTATTCTCAATTGTGTTGTAATATTTATTCATGCCATTTCTTTCTCCTCAGTAGTCGGCTACTCTCCCTTTATTCTGGCAAAGGAACAAAGGTTTTTCTTTGGCAAAGGAACAAAACTACAGTAAATGAAATCCAATCAGTCAGATTAATTATATATTAATGGACAATAAGATAAAGCCCCTGCAATGGGTTTTAATAAATACTTCATAATCCAAAAGGCATGTTCTGAATAAAACTAATTTCTGGAATAAAAGAAAAAACTAAGCAGGCAAATTTATCTGAATTTATACTCTGAGAAATTACTCTCAATCTATGGAAACACTATCCAGTCTTCAAATGGTATATAAAAAATAAAATCAATCCAAAGGTAAATCCTTCCTAATTTCAAAATCATAAAAGAAGCATTTATTTATTTATTATTTAACTTAATTTGTAACATCTGTCACAAATTGGCTTGCATATTCACCTGCATATTAAGAACCAGTATACCTTTCAATGGAAATGACAGTTTTATAGAGATAAAAAAGAACTTTATGATTTTTGGTACAGCTTCTGCATGTTCAGAAATGGGGACATTGTTACTTCATTTTATCATTTGGCCCTTCTTCCTGTAATCTAACCCTGCCATAATTTAAAGCTCCACATTTACAGAGGCTTTCAATTTTTTTTAAAACTGGGATGATACTTTGTGCAGATGCTAGTGTTTTCTACCAGAAATGGCAACTGATCTCTTTCTCTTAGAAGTACAATCCCTGGCTGCCTGGTATTTATTCTCAGCGTTTGCATATGTGGTTCTGTGTCCTAGTGCCAATGCTATGGGGCTCTACCATCTACAAGAAAATACTGAATGGGGTAATCCAGAACGCTAGTCTGTATTATAATCTGCATGCTGATGACACACATCTCTGTTAACCATTTTCATCTTCAGCCAGTGGATCAGGGGACGACAGAGGATGAGATGGTTGGACAGTGTCATTGAAGCGACCAACATGAATTTGGCCCAGCTCCAGGAGGCAGTGGAAGACAGGACACCCTGGCGTGCTCTGGTCCATGGGGTCACGAAGAGTCGGACACGACTAAACGACTAAACAACAACAACTTCAAGCGAGAACTCTTCTCAGTTACAGACCTCCACATGTGGAATGTTCTCCCCAGGGATGCTCATCTAGTTCCTGCATTCCTGTCTAATTACACTAGGTAAAACATACTTTCACCTAAGACTTGATGGGATCTGACTGGCAGATTTTTCAATATTGTTCAGAATCCTATTGGTGATTTATGCATGTATGAGTGAAATTGTGTTAGTTGTAGCAGAAATTAATAGTACTCAATGAGGTGCCAGACATATCCCTCATTCCCTGCCCCTCACACAACAGGATATGTGATCAGGAATGTAAACAGTACCTGGCTAATTAGCAGAAAATTGCCACTATACCTTATCTGATTTTACTTAAGCACACATAAGTGTTAATAGGATTTATGCCATAGATTATCTCTATCATTTGTTGCAGGGGGATTGTTGTAATATGTTATTTTTTTATTATTTTCAACTTCTGTGTATTTTAATTGATATTTAATTATAAAATTTATATATTCTAGCTGTAAAACATCCAGTCTTTTTAAAACGCATCCAATAACTAAAACAACTACTGTACTGTCTCTTTCTTTTTGAAACCTGTGGATTAATGTTAAATTTGTTATAATTGTGAGCGAATAAGAAAAACCTGTCCTTCCACATACATGCCATTTTGTAACAAATGCTGCAAACTTATTGTCTGAGATCTGAATTTAACAAGTCAACATTAAGGAAAGAGATCTAGGATGCTAAGACTCTTATTAGTCTGTGACTAATGGACTAGTACCCCATGCATCATTATCATCATAAGCTTGCAATTTTTGAACTAATTCTGAACTTTACCCCATAGTAATACCCAACTTCATCTTAAACATAACAGGGCCCATCATCCCCCCCCAACTATTACCTCCCAATGTTTCTGGTCTTACCTGAACACACTCCCTATCCATTTTCAATAATAAACATGGAAAGACAGAGAGAGACAGATCAGGGGATTACAATGTTGATTGTCCTTAATCATTTAGCAGTTTTTGAGACTGTAAAGCATATCATGTTAGACTGGCTCTGCTGATTTAGGTGATATGGTGGTTCCACCTGTACCTGCACTCAGTTTCAGATAGTTTAAATGAAGGATCTCAGCTCACTCCATACGATTTGAGCTGTGATGAGCTGCAAGGGCAATCTCATTCATCATACTTTTTAGTGTTTATATGAAGCCATTGGGTGAGTTCATCTAAGGATATTAAGTGAGGTATCTTCAAGGACTCTGCAGTTCTAAAACTTTTTTTCAGAAGGAGGATGTTGAATACAATGTTGTGAGGATATTTTCTCCACGAAGGAAGGAAGGAAGGAAGGAAGG